CCACCGTCAAGCAATTACGCACGTTTAACGGCCTCGTAAGTTTCTATAGACGATTCATACCTAAATGCGCGTTACTCATGAAACCTCTTTCCGACCAACTTCGTGGAAATGCGAAATCCATTAATTTGGACGACAACGCACGAAAAGCACTCTCCACAGTTAAGGAACTGATCGCTAAAGCAACAATGCTTGCACATCAGGACACTCAAACACCCATTAGCACCGCAGTAGACGCATCCGACTCAGCAATCGGAGGAGTCTTACAACAATGGGTTAACAACTCCTGGCAACCATTGTCATTTTTCTCTAGATGGTTGCTAGACACCTAATCGAGGTACAGCACATTCGGCAGGGAACTCTTAGCTATGTATTGTGCTGTACGGTATTTTCAACACTACATAGAAGGCCGTCTTAAACTTGCCCAGCTTCGAAAAGAAGACACTGAGTTGTCGTCTACAACCCTGAAGCTACGCATCAAACAGATGGGAACAGGTAAGGAAACCTTACTTTGTGACACATCTACAGTTAGGGATCGCCCAATCGTGCTGAAACATTATCGACGCAAAGTCTTCAATACGTTGCACAAACGTCATCCAAGTGTTCGTGCAACCATCAAGCTTATAGCAGAACGATTTTGCTGGCCTGGCATGAATAAAGACGTGGGGGAGTGGGCACTCACCTGTGTAAGCTGCCAGAAATCTGAGGTGATTAGACACGAAAATGGCCATTAGGCCCTTTCAATATTCCCGACTCTGGTTTCGACCATATTCATCTGGATTTGGTAGGACCTCTACCAGATTCAAATGGATACTCTTATCTCTTAACCTGCGTTGACCGTTTCACCCGATGGCCAGAAGCAGTACCTACCAAAGACATCACTGCTGAAACAGTGGCCAGCGCCTTCGTCAAATGATGGGTAGCAAACTTCGGCTGCCCTTCAACTAGCACTACAGATCGCGGACGTCAGTTCGAATCTGAACTTTTCCGTCGCTTGACCACACTTTTAAGAATCACTCGCTTCTGAACGTCTGCCTATCACCCACAAGCAAACGGGTTAGTAGAACGCTTTCACCGAAAACTAAAAGCTTCACCATCAGCCGCAAACGTTTCACAGTGGGCCAATGCTCTTCCATCCGTCATACTAGGTATCCGCAATGCAGTGACAGCTAACATTGGATACACTGCGGCTCAACTCGTTTATGGAACGACACTTCGACTTCCAGGGGAATTCGTGGATCCTTCATCCTCTTCAATGAACATGGATCTAACCTCCTACACGAACAGGCTTACAAACGCAATGCGTTCAGTTAAACCTGCTTCCACTCGACCTCAATCAACTGATGTTTTCGTTCAACCTGGCTTACGATATAGTACACACGTTTTCGTTCGTCGAGACTCGCATCGACGACCATTCGAATCAGTATGCGAAGGACCCTTCAAAGTTCTTCAACGTGAATCCAAGTACTATATAGTCGATAAGAACGGAACAAACTATAGCATCAGCATCGATCACTTAAAAGCAGCGTATTTAGAAGGAAATCCTATTCACATCGATTTTCCTTCGGTACAATCGCACAACACGACTCCTACGCTTATAGTACCTCAACCGACAGGCAACACACCCGATGATACTTCAATAGTATCAGAAAATAAACTTAAGACGACGCGTTCTGGAAGGAGAGTAAGATTTCCAGAACATTTGAACGACTACTGCACGTAAGGCACTACTTGACATTTTATATTATCTCGATCTTTCTTTTTACGATATATAATATTTAAAAAAACAATTTTAATATGCCTATATATTTATATTTTTATTTCAAAAAAAGACAAAAAACATTATAAATTTTTTAACGCTATTACGTGTGCTTGAGTTTATTTTCCATTTTTTTCGCCGACATTGTGTTTTTACGCACATACGAGTGTATTTCGACATGCACTTACATCTTTTTTTTTCTTTTCGAGGATGGTTGGAAAAGAACGATGATATCTGTTGTTGGGTACGAATTATAATAGAAGGTGTTGCTGGTAAGAGCGTTGTCAAACACTGAATACCTGTGCCATATTCAGGAAGAATATTCTAGAATTCCAACGTGTAGCTCCCTGATTAGACAATGCTAATAACCCCCTGTATGCAGATTGAAGGACTGTAATGGTGATTTCGTTATTACTAAAATCTGTAAATACCTGAGGATTTTGTGCTATAATTGATACAATCTGGGAATATTATTCCCTTCATTAGTCTTCTGTCTTCTCATTGCGAATTGGAAGGATTCTGCTGTTCTAGTGCTCACGTTATACGCGGCATATCAATAACAACCTTCTAGATATAACAATGGGAAATAGTTATCAAGAGATATACTTACACCGAAAATATTTCTGTTATTCCATGCTGACGGAGATCAGTGAACTGCTCAACATTCAGTGGTCCAACTGCTGAATTATTTATCTTGCACTCAGTGACATTTCACTGGCCCAACAGATTAATTGGAGCTGGATAGTAGTTGAAAGGGATGCGCAGCACGACTCACACACTCTTGATCTTGTGTGGACGCCTGAACGAGCTGCTTCAGCTAGATGTGTCCATTAAAACTAAATGGGTCATCATCAAATGTCGAGGCCTTACAGAGCTATATATTCTGAAGATGTATTTTTCGTGACAACAGTTTTCCGAACAGATGACCGCTGATCACAGCTACTTATATGTGTAGAGATTCACCTCTAGCCAGAAAGTACTTTTTATACGACCCAGCAATTCCACACAATGCACTTACATATAATAACGAAAGCAATCAATAACAATCAGAACCAACAAAAGACCCGGATTCACACAATCTTGGAATCAAAGCGAAAATCAGACAGTATAACTCGCTACAATATACATATTTCTCGGGAGTTTTGGAGAAAGAGACATATTATTGAAAAGCGCACTAAAAACTCGTGACTCAAATATCCGTGTTCGACCAGATTGGCCGCTTGATGATCGAATCAAGTGGAAGAATGCTCTTACGGAGTTGAGGACTCGCAAATTAAATGGCGAAAATAACCTTACCATTAAGGGTTTCCGGGTAGTCAGGTCTTGGAAGCCAATGCTTCCGAGGTCTGTATGAGTAGAACGATTGATTTCCAAAGCACCTTAAGTGTGTGCTACACGAACGCTCGTAGTCTTGGAAATAAAACGTCCGAGCTAAGTCTGATGGTGGAAGAACTGTGTCCCGATATAATCGTTGTTACAGAAACTTGGTTCACTATTGATATAAACTGTTCTCCTTTCATTGCTGGTTATATGTGTATTAGAAGTGATAGAGTTTCAAGTCGCAAAGGGGAAGGTATAATATTATACGTTAGGGATCACTTTCGTGTACAATCAACCATATCGGAGGCTCCTATCAGTGGCACATGTGAGGTTGCATGTTGTAAGATTAAATATAGAAATGGGTTAGTGACTATAGTGGGAATATACCGTAGTCCGTCTTGTCTTGCTGACGACTTTATCCTAAGATACATCTGTTCTTGGAGTATGGCAGAATGTTGTCTCATCAGTGGGGACTTCAACGCACCGCATATCAACTGGATAGAGCTTACAGCTCCAGGTAGTGGTTTCGATAGCAACCATTTATTTACCGTTATTCAGTGTGCACTTGTACAATGTATCACAAAACCGACACATATTGATTTGCAACATGATCCGTCACTGCTGGACCTCGCCCTCACCCACCACTCTGAGGATGTCTTTGACATTCAGCACCTTCACCCACTAGTTAACAGTGATCACGTTGTAATTCATTTTAAGTTTAGAATACATGGTATACGATTTGTATCTTCTCCACCCCGTCCTAATATCTGATGGGCCAATATTCCGGCAATCAGAAACTGTGCAATGTCGACCGACTGGTCGGTCGACGCGGATGGATTGATCGAAGATGAATGGAATAAGTTTAAGGCTACATTCGAGGTCGTAACGTCGCCGTTTATCTCATGGTCAGCAGGTGAGCTATCACATTGCCCTCCATGGATTAATAAGGAAACCCGGAAGCTGTTAAATCTTAGGAAACATTTCTGGGACTTATTCTTGTTGACAGGTCATGCACCATTTAAGCGTGAGTACCAAAAATTCCGTAATATCTGTAAGAAAATCATAGCCAAATCCCGTACCACTTACGAACGACAGTTAGTATATGATAGCCGTGCTTGTCCGAAACGATTGTTTTCATATGTTAAACGGAGAATGAAACGTGGTGATGGTATTCCCCCGTCACTGTTACACGAAAGTTCAGATTTACTAGCTGGATCAGATCAGTCAAAAGCTGAGACTTTTTCAAACTATTTTAGCGAAATCTTCTCTACGCTTATTGTAACAAATACTTGTCCCACTCACACCGAGATACCAGCCATTGAATCTGTAAAGGAGACTGTGGAAACTGTCCTTCCGTTAATAACTAACCTCAAACCTGGTAAGATACCGGGCCCTGATGGGTTGCATCCACGGCTGTTGTCGTCTCTTGAGGGCATTATTTCAAAAACGCTTGCGACACTCTTCAACATGTCTCTTTCACTCGCTCAACTCCCTAGAGATAGGAAAGGCGCTATAGTCAGTCCTATATTTAAGAATGGTCAGAGACAGATAGTATCTAACTACCGGCCTGTCAGTCTAACTAGCATAGTCGTTAAGTTACTTGAAAAGATAATTCGGGTTGGGTTGCTAAGCCACATAGATTTACACAATCTGTTAGCTCCTGAGCATCACGGATTTCGTAACAAGCGTTCATGCTTGACTAATTTGCTTATTGCGAGGGAGGATTGGACAGCAGCCTTAGATAACGGTCTGTCTGTCGATGTGATATTCAAAGATTTTGGCAAAGCATTTGACAAGGTTTCACATGTAGGTCTTATGCGGAAGCTCACTGGAAAGCAGTGTGTCAGGATTAATACAGGTTCACCAACCTACTATCCTTATTACTGAAGACTGCAGACGTTTGTTGTTTGTGCCACAAGTGTTCACTGTACAACATGTGCTTTTAAGTGCGCGAGATTTGGGATTATCAAATGTCCAGCAAAGTGGGTAACTTTAGGGTTTAGCAGGAAGTGGGGTCCTTCATGTGTAAAGTTTGTTACTTTCTATATCATCTGTCAGGTCTTTTTTAGAGAAAGTGATCATTTACATCCATGAATCGACCGTAGTTTATAACTCGTAGATAAATATTTTCAATCAGCCAACTTAAATTATGTAAACTATAATAATGTGAATGAAAAATGAACATTTTTGAAAGACACTTTTTTACGAGAAATAATTCGGTTGAGAGTGCAGCCTTGTGGAAATAGTCTTCACTCTCTAAACCGTATTCTGGGATACACTTCTTGAAAGTGACACTATCACTAATTTCTCACAAATTGAGATAAAAAAAGTCTACCGTGTTATAAAAAGTCCGTCACCTAGTCTATTTCCCGTCACAACGTTTGCATGGTTTTTCACTTATTCTGGAAATATTCACCGTCTGCCTTTCTAAACAGGTTGTATGTTGAAAGTGATTTATATATTCGCAAGCATTTTCACAGTTTACAGCAATATTGACAACGCTGAAGCAACGGTCACGCGTCTTTGTTGTCACTAATAGCCATAGATTAACTCAGCCCTGATATGTTTTGAAAGTAGCATTTCATGCTGGGTTTACTAAGCAAGAACACTCCTTTATTTATTTATTTAAACATGAACATTGGTACAAGAAGGTTGGTTTATACGCCATTTGTTCGTTCACTATCCTTGAGCCTATGCACACCACTGGTTTGTAATCAGGGTTTTTCAACTCTCCTTTGTGGCTACCAATCCGGTTAGTGTCGGACATTTGTTTTTCGTCCTCTTAATTTCTTAAACAACCTCACCGCGGGAAAAGTGAGTAATACTTCCCTGGTGATGGCTGTACACGCGTGGCCACGTGGGAGCTTTACGTGAGGAAAAGCAGACTCTCCTTACCCTCGGCCGTACCAGGGCATTTGGGGGTCATTGTCACTTAAGCTCATAATTGTCGTTTGTATCATTCCAAAATAAAGTAAACATCGTTTAGTGCTCTAAACTTTTTCCTTTGACTTCATCCTCAAGTGTTATCATGACCAGTGATTCTAGCGCACGGAATACTGTCCTAGGTTTATTGAAATCTCGCTCCAAACTACTCATTCGAGCCCTCAACGTACGTACTTTTTGTCAAATCGGCCATCAGGCCTCCTTGCCCAAGACCTTAGTATCTCGTGCCATTGATGCATGCTGCCCCTGAAACACATACAGGATCCTGTGGTCATTGCCTAACCAAAATGGGAGCCGATCCCCCGTGTATCTGGCAACCCAATGGCTAGTTCTCGTGGACTGGCGGGTATAGGTATAGCACTATGAGGGCAGAACAAGCACTTTTAGGATGTATCCTCGTTAGAATTTGCCTATGTGCTGTCCAGCCAAACTGTCCTGTAAGAACTCGTAAGGATAGGGACATGCGTCATTTTTTTTCGTTTCTGCCTACACTCTCACTGACTACAGAGGACGGATAATGGTGACCGTCTGTTACAACTGTGCCCAGACAATCGTTTATTCTTAGCAAACTAATTTTAAGTATAAGGAGAGACGTCTAACATGGCGACCCTCCTCACCAAACCAACACTGGACTCAAATAGACCATATTGTCATCAACCATCGTTGGAGATGCTTGATAGAAGACTTCAGCTCGTTTTGCAGTACATGTTTAGACTCTGTTGATGCTGTAGTACGAGCACACATTTGCCTGTGCCTTACTGGACGCAGAAAAACCATACTAAGAAGACCCATTAGTATTGAACTCGGAAATGAATAAGCCAAAAGTATATTACAGAATGAAGGACTCCATAGACGCCCAACTTCGTGACCAACAGGCAGGATTCCGTAAGGATAGATCGTGTACAGACCAAATCGCAACTCTACGGATCATTGTGGAACAATCAATTGAATGGAATTCATCACTCTACATCAACTTCCTTGACTATGAAAAAGCATTTGATAGCGTGGACAGAACAGCACTATGGAAGCTTCTTCGATACTACGGCGTGCCTCAGAAGATAGTCAATATCATACGTAACTCCTATGATGGGTTAAACTGCAAAATTGTGCGTGGAGGACAGTTGACAGACTCGTTCGAGGTAAAGACCGGTGTCAGGCAAGGTTGCTTACTCTCACCCTTTTCTTTCTCCTGGTGATCGACTGGATCATGAAGACGTCAACATCTGAAGGGAAGCACAGAATACAGTGGAGAGATAGGATGCAGCTGGACTTTCTAGACTTCGCAGATGATCTGGCTCTTCTATAGCACACACAACAACAAATGCAGGCGAAGATGACCAGTGTAGCAGCAGTAGGTCTCAATATACACAAAGGGAAAAGCAAGATTCTCCGATTCAACACAGCATGCACCAATCCAATCACAATTGACGGAGAAGATTTGGAAGATGTAAAAACCTTTACATATTTGGGCAGCATCATTGATGAACAGGGTGGGTCTGATGCAGATGTGAAAGCGCGGATCGGTAAAGCAAGAGCAGCATATTTACAACTGAAGAACATCTGGAACTCAAAGCAACTGTCAACCAACACCAAGGTCAGGATTTTAAATACAAATATCAAGTCAGTTCTACTGTATGGGGTGGAAACCTGGAGAACTACGAAGGTCATCATCCAGAAGATACAGGTGTTTATTAACAGTTGTCTATGCAAAATACTTCGGATCCGTTGGCCGGACAATATTAGCAACAACCAACTGTGGGGAAGAACAAACCAGATCCCAGCGGAGGAAGAAATCAGGAAGCGCTGGAAGTGGATAGGGTAAACATTAAGGAAAGCGCCCAACTGCGTCACAAGGTATGCTCTCACATAGAATCCTCAAGGGTAAGTGAGAAGAGGAAGACCAAAGAACACATTACGCCGGGAAATGGAGATAGACATGAGAAAAATGAATGACAATTGGATGGAACTAGAAAAGAAGGCCCAGGACAGAGTGGGTTGGAGAATGCTGGTCGGCGGCCTATGCTCCATTGGGTGTAAGAGTAATATTACAGTAAGTAATATTACAGGAACAACTGAGGTCACACTTAGGTAGTTCTGAAAACAAGGCTGATCCAGATGTTGCTTGGGAAGATATACGAACAGCTGTGAAAATAGCGGTGACATCTATTAGTAATTTAAATCAATTTAAACCAATGGATTTCTACTAAGTCTATTGAACTGTTAGATTCTCGTAAACTCATCCCATCAGGCTCTGAACGCGGTAAATAACGAAAACAAGTCGGATATAGGTTAAACAAAAGTCTAAGGAACGATCGTGAGCAGTGGTGGGCAACGAAAGCAGAAGAGATGGAAAAGGCGGCAACTGTAGGTAACACAAAACAGCTATTCAAACTGATAAAAAAAACGAACTAAAAAGTCAAGTGTGAGACTATTTCGGAAAAAAACGACAATCTTATCAGCTCTCAGTTCAAACGTTCAGAACGATAGTTGGAACACTTTAAGGAGCAGTTCAGCTGAACTTCATCTACTCTACAACTATCCACCATTCCCAGACAGCGGGAATATTATTATTATTAATGGCATTGAAGTAGGTTCCCCGACTCTAGCTGAAGTTCAAAAGGCTATAGTTAATATGAAACGAGGAAGGGCAGCTGATCCAGATGGATTAAATCCAGAGATCTTCAAAGATGGTGGTCCAGTTTTAGCAACTAGGTTAACTAATATTTTAGCTGAAATCTGAGAACTGAATGTAGTTTCATGTGATTGGTCGCAATCACTGATCGTCTCAATATATTGGAAAGGAAAAAAATCACCAGACGGACCAGTTTGACTAATATTCTGTCTAAAATCACTAGCCTCAATAATTATTGGGCGTCCAACAAAACTCGAACCGCGAATGCGAGAAAACCAGGTCGGCTTCAAATCTGGTCGTGGTTTAATCTACCAGATATTCACCGTTCGACAGATTTTGGAACACAGACATGCTTATCGCAACCCGACGATAGCAGTCTTTCCTCTACATTCCGTTTTATTTTCAAAGATAGACACCGTCTAAAATGCAACATACTTCCAGAAATCTTAGTGAATGGGTTCAGTATGACGTGAAATGATTTGATCAGTGGACGTGATATTACCATTCTCTGTACTTTTGAACCACTTATAGGATACCTAGCCATAAATGAATCACCTTAACTATGCCTAAGTATACCATGTGGTTAGTATCTAAATCATAGTTGATATCGTGTTACCAGGCAGTAATTTTAAGCCGAAGGCTTCACGGTTATGAATACCTGGACATTCGGTAAAAACTATTGTTACAAATATTCTCGTAATCCTAGTATTTTTTTGTTTATTTGGTAATGAATCTGTTTTGTTAATAATGTAGCTAAACACTCAGTTCACGTGCTTCGGTTTGGGCACTCGAGTAGTATCACAGCCCTCACACATATCAAATGAGATCTGTGTGGCGCATATGTATTTGGTGCCTCCTTGTACCAATATCTATGTGTTAAAATAAAATTTAAAAAAAACATTCGGTTCACTATATTCACAGGTCGTTAATCCGAAAACAAAAAGAAGTAGATATCCTCGAACAGTTGTCCAGAAGTTGAAGTCTGTCGGGCAAGCTATTGAACCTAATTTACCAGTAAATGGTGTCTCGGGTGCTGATAAACCATCTTCAAACAATGCATACTGTCCTCATTGGTCTCATGATGACCTAATTTCGGGTGTCAGAAATGGAACACTTCTATCAGTAAGTGTTAGCACCTGTTTTTATTATGTTATATATTTCTTAGGTCAAAGACCTAGAAGTTGATACTAAATCAAGTTGGGTTGAAATATCAGTTTTTTCTCATTTTCATTCTTACCTCATGTTTTTGCACGTACTTTGTATGTAACAATATTCTAACCTCTATACGCCGCGTCATACACCATATTTTGCCTTTAGAGTGGCTGTGGTATTAGAGCTTAAATTGTCATTCTTACACTTAGTATAATTCAGTATGTATTCATTTGAGTGCTTAAATATCAGGGATCCGTACAACTTGCGATCCAACCTCATCAATACTTAGTCTCAGTCATGTCAACTCAAGCATCGATTTGTTAGTTTTACAAACAATATTATTTCTATGGTAATATCAAATCTGACCTCCTTACGTGGTTATTGATTGTATCGACTTTTGAAGTTCTAGTGTTTAAAATTTTGTAATTGATAGTTGATTTGAAACACCCTTGTATGGTACTTTTTTGTAAGTAGTTAAAACTGATATCTTTTTTATTTTATGGGACATATTGTTCTTATTGCTGCAGCTTTTTCCTAATTCCAATGTTATTTTAGTCATTTTATTTTACTAATTTTCAATATTCTTATCCATTTTACAGGGTAACCTTCGTATCAATCCGAAAAACTTCGAAGATGGATACGTAAAGCACCCGGTAAATGAGATTATTGAGTTTATTAAAATATGAAGGCTGGTGATGCTGATGTATATATCTCAACTTTAGCATCCAGAAACCGAGCACTACCAAATGATATCGTTGCTGTCATGCTGGAACCAAAGCGCAACTGGAGGGTATGTTCAAATAATCACAATATTTTCCGTACTTCGATGAATGAGTATGTAAAAATCCAGTAGTGCCTTCGAAAGCAAAGGAGCCTCCTTCGGCACACTGCCTTGACGTTTTGTCTTCTGAGTTTTGAAACTAGACTGCCGAATAGCTTCGGATTTTAATTTCTTGCACTATCCGTACATTCACAACTAGATCTTTTGATAAATGATCTAAAAATATTGGTATAAGATTTTGTTAAAATATACCCTACATATCACTGTTCGTTAAATAAGTAGTTGCGTTAACGTTTGTTAGTACTAATTGTTCCAGTTTGTGGTCAAACCAAATCAAAGTTTCGTATTGGGTACTTTACAGCGATTCAGACCACTAGTTTTATCGCTCTTTCGAGTTCGTAATGAGACATTTTTTCATGCTTTTTCTCTGTATATACAAACTTTATGTATCCAGTTATGTCCGCTAGTATATAGAATGAGTAAATGCAATGATAAGCAATCAAGAATCTTAATTTTATCATCGAAGTTGAAATTGTAACCGGTAAGTAAGCTGGTCGTTTGTAGTACACAGTTAAAAACAATATTATCTCTAAATCATTGTTACAGTCCAATGTATTTTTTGTCTATGCGCTCCCAACTCAACAGTAAATTAATGGAATTTGGGTTTTAATTGAGACTATAAACCGATCAATGTTAGACCATCATTGAAAGCCTTGGATCACTGGTTTAGAGGTTATGCATTCACGTGCGAGTCCGATGGTCCTGAGTTCGAGCCCCGCGTGCGGTATTGTAGATGCGCACCGCTGAGGAGTCTCATACCAGCCAACCAGTGCTTGCAGATTTTCAGTGGTGGTCTAACTTTGATCGGTTCGTGATTTCAATTAAAACTCAACAATCTCCACAATCCTATATTGGTAATGGAATTTGGGTCTGTTATGTGAGCTCCACGAATTTATATCTGACGTAGGTTTGAATCTACATTTTGCGCTTTGGCTGATTTAATGTCTGCATAATTTTAATTTTGTAGGTTTTGAATTTTAACTTTCAAGCAGTCATTAACTTTTTTGCTTCAAGCTGTGATTAAAATATGTAGGAATTTTCGTATTAAAACCTGTTAAACATGCGCTTGTTCGACTGAGTTATCATTCGTAATTAAGTTATGACCAATCATCGTTTTATCTTTCTGGATTCCTTATCGCTCAGCAATTTGTACTTTCTGTAACTCAGTGAAGGTAAGAAAATCATTTCCAAGTGAATAAAAGTTTGTCATAGACAGAAATAATAACCGCTAGATTAATCTAGAAATTCACCAGCCATTATTACCTCGGTTATTTTTTCTTACATATTTCTTACTGTCGTATTCCCAAAGTTTGCTGGTTAAATATAGATATTTGTGCTTTTTCAGGTATTTGATTCTTTTATTGATGAAGCCACCATGAGAGAAATCGGGGATTCAAATCAGAAGAAGAAACTTAGATATGTTACTTTGGAACAGTTTCTTAAGATTCAACCCATGGGGTTAGAGCAAGTATGTGGGTAATCATTTTCTCCTATATACCTGGTTCTCTCCCTTTCTACATAGCGATAGACTAGTTAATACATCTGCGAATCCACTCACGTAAATTGAGATAGGATATTTTATTTTCCTTTTAGGATCAACTGCAAGATTCTTCTAATACGAAATGGGCTCTATGCGAACTAGATAGATCAAACGACTAGCACTCTACAATACTTAAGTGTTACCAACCCATACACAAATAAGAGGGAATACTTGTTAAGAAGATTAGTCAAGACCCCAGAAGAATTAGTTTACATTCAAGTTAATTTGATTATATGCCTATTATATTCTATGATTATAAATTACGCCGTCAAATTGAGTAATCGTCACTTAGATGCAAAATCGCAGTTAATTAGTTTATACAATGTAACTGTAGTAATCATCAAACACCTATCTTCATACTGAATGGATTAATATAAATTCAGTGCACTGAAAGTCAGTAAATGTGATTCACGTAAATTATTATGCTAATTGATCTCTTCCTCATTCGTTGTATTTGCGAATATTACATCCCCAACACACAATTGTGTTTAAAAACATCAAAATCTATCAGTTTTCCTGCTTGTGCTTATTTGGTTACAACATAGTGATGCCATTAAAATAAATGTACTAAGACCTATTACTGAAAATCCCATTATCTTTTTATGTGTTCTACTATTTTTTGAATACACTGAATTCTGCAATCCGCTAGTCATTATTTACGAATATGGTGTGGTTAACTGATAAAGTCATATGTTCAGTGGGAATATTTTAATGTCAGTAAATGGTTGTTCTTACTGCCGCATCAGCTTACATAATGTACTTTTCGTAGAGTTTATGCAAGTTTAGGGATTGGTTATCGTAACTAGTGTTGTACTTTGATAGTTAGTTGTCCGGCTTGGAGAGTATAATAATTAGAATGAACAGCGCCACCATTGAAAATTCGTCCTACATTCTCATTTCCGCAGTAACCTTATCTCATGATTTCATTTTATGAAAATAAAACCACAGACTAGTAATAAGTAAGCGGAAGGTATGAATTATGAAGGTAACAAATTTGTGCTTTCATATATTGGTGTATAACTCTTTACTGTTCTCTTATTTTATTCACTAGAAAAGCTATTCTGCATAAATATGTTTAAAAATTTAGTAATTTACTAGAGTTAATTATCATGTGTTTTATGGGCCTAGCAAACGATTATTCCACACTTGACTGTTCCTTAAAGTATTATTTTGTTTCTAAACCTTTATTCACTTTTTACTTCAAGCTCATAGGAAGTTGTCTTGCAGAAGAGATTGCACAGGATCTAGATTCACCTTCAGATCCTATTGACTCCTCCTCAAGTGAGCAAGATGTGCAAAGTCACAAAGCTTGGTGGGCGATTATACAAAGGACTGGCCATGTTGTTGGAATCCTTCAATCGCTACATTCCCGTGCTTTCATAGGAAATCTTCAAATTCCTAGTAATTTCCAAACTCCGAAAAAAGTATCTCCGAAAGGTGATCAGAATAATAACCAATCAGAGGCTATACGTACAGATCCAGTTCTTTCTAATTGGAAGAATGCTGTGCTCATACCTACGGATACACGCTTACCACGAGTCTTCATACCTCGTGAAGCTTGTCCGGAAGGTGAGTGTAAATTGACGTATTAAAAAGGTTTATCGAATTGGCAAACTCTTAGAAAATCGAAATATACTTATCTCAAGGTTATATCTTTATAAACTATCAAAAAATCGTTTTCTTACTCTTTGATTGCTACTCATTTTGATATAGGATTCCTGAAAAATCCCGAAACCTACAAAAACGTTCGTTTCATTGGTCGTATCACTGAATGGTTTGATTCGAATATGTTCCCGAAGGGGTAAGTATTTTTGACGTGTTAATGTATGTTTAGTGACAATTTGTTAGTTTTCTATCTTTTGTAAAGCAACAAGATTTTCTTTAATCATCGCAGTCTGGATGGCATTCTGATGAATGCTAGTCTCATCGTTGTATTCTGTTGTATTTCGTTGCGATGTTGAAGGATCAAGATCTAAACATTCTCAGGTTTCCGTATCTTAAAAGTGGAACTATTAACACAAATTTGCAACCAATAGCAAAACTGATGAGCTTCCCGATTCCGTGATAGTACAAGTGAACCAAATAATCGTCCTCAGAACACCAATCAGTTGAAGTTTTTTAAGTGTGTATGCTTTTGGTAAAATTTCAGTCTTTTTCTAAAAGTCTTTTCTGGACGTCATGACCTACTGTTGGAAATGTTAGTGTATAGTTTCATTAAGTGCCTTTCTTTTTTGTTTCACTACAATTTCAATGTCTAGGTTTTATCACCATTTCCTTCATCATAGAAATGCTGTTCCCCAGAGTAATTACTTAACCAAATAATCAACGTTGTGTTATAATTTCCCTGCTAGTTCCAATTATAATTATTCTTTTTTTGTTAAGGTATTCGGACCTCAGGAAAAATGAAATCTATATATCTCTGGGTCGCGGTTAGTGATAGAATTGAGATATTAGATGAATATGATTTGTTACCTTATTTTATTGTTATGTTTGAAGACCTCACGAGATCACCTAAAACCAGCGGACGGAACGAAAGATCATTGACGCAACTACTAGACAGCTAAACTATTCCAATGTGTCCCAGCCCCGCTAACTAGAGAGAGAAGTCCAGGTTCAGATGATGTAAAGTGCATTCCACAAGCAGCCAGAAGCACGAACGTCAACAAGCACACAACTCAAGCGTATATATACAGCATAAAAACGTCCTTAGGAAACGTCACAAAACAGCATAATAAAAGGGGCAACGAAATAAGGACTTTTAGGGTCCTTCCAAGTGGGAAATACAATCTGAAGGTAAAAATGAGCGCTTTTAGCGCGAAAACGATGAATTCAAATTTACAAAATATAATTACAAAAATAAGACGTTTACCAAGTGATTTCTGGAGGTCATGCGTCCTCAAAATATCGCTTATTCCTCGAGTAAATTCCAGGTTGTAACTATTTTAGTAGTAGCTCATAAATGAATAATACTTTTCTTTGTTTAAAATGCTTGAATTTTTTAAGTAAATAACTCATCATTTACATTTATTCCGTAACCTCAATTTTTAACATGTTTACGTTACTATGTTGTTGATGATCGTTGAGCTGTTGATACTGGTTTGAATATCATTGTTTATTTGTGCTATATAAGAAATACTTCAGTTGCCTTGACGAATTCATTTCGTGTAAGGATTTTTATGGTTTTGATTTGTCATTTTCTCTTTTCGTCAGGGAGTTGTTACGAGAATTGTCTTGTGACTCTTCCACTCTGATTCAGGATGAAACGGATAGGATTTTAGTTGGTGCAGGATTTATTTGGGGTGTGGAGGCAGCTTTCCAGTTTCCTGATATTGTCACTGAATCAGTTCGTAAGTCTGTTGATGACGTGAATGCTATTCGTGAGAAGGATTTTATTTTCCGTAAAGATTTTCGAAAATATTGTGTTTTTACGATTGATCCCAGTACCGCTAGAGATCTTGATGACGCTTTGCATATTAGACAGTTGGAACCGAGTGAAATAGAAAAATTAGAATGCAGCGGTTATCGAAACGCATTTTACGAGGTAAATAAGAGTCTTGTTTTATGATTCCATTGACAGGTAAAAATGAATTTTGGGAATGAGTAATTTTCTGAATGTTAGTTAATTCTAATTTAACCCCATGAATTTGTGATGATAATCTTTAATGGTGTGTTTCATGGTGTTGAGTCACGTACCAACCCAGTACTGGATTAATTTTCTGGAGTACCATTCCCAATTATTTGTGGGAAAACACCAAGGCATTTGCTAAACGTAGTTGGCTATATGGAATATGAAGTACACTGATTACAGTAATCGATAGATGGTAAACTGTTACTACCTCTTTGTTCTGCGTCAAAACAGTGTTTCATTTTTCCAGCTTCTCCACAAGGAATCGAGTTATGTGGATCCCTCTGCTCAATCTCTAAACTTTCAGTTAGCACTATTGTTTGTTTCAACTTTATGTAGGTCAAGTTATCTTCACACTAAGACATACTATTGGCTAATACTTAAAGAAACATGACGTGTAGTTTTCATTTATAAGTGCAATCACTCGTCAGTTCATAGCGTGAAACAATGTTTATGAAAAGTGATCCTTGAGGCATCATTATGGATGTTCTTTGTCTGGTTAATTCTGATTTGTGTTGTGATTTTCGTTTTGCTAGGCGTTTACTTCTCAAACTCTTCAGACTAAATATGTCAGATGTTTAGAGTAGTGTCTGAAAAACGTTTTCTTAATAATTACTGAGATGTTATCGTTATTAATTTATGTCCGGCTAGTTATCACTTGGTTTATCCACCAATCAAAATACGACTTATACAATCTTAGCATTGTGCCGAACCAATGACGTTCGACCGGTATGAGCAGCCTAGCATCCTTATTGGTCCTATGTCCGCCTAACCTGTCTACTTGAGTCCAGAACACCAATACCAACCCCCACTACGCGAATCGAATCATTTATTTCAGACATACTGGGTTTATATATCAACCAAACAGACCGCAACGCACAATAAAATAGGAAATAAAATTTCTACACAATAAAGCCAGAAAGTGGCTGTGAACGTGGGAGGCAGTAGTCAATAAACTGAACATAGCTTACAAACAGTAAATTGTACAATAATAAATTATAGGTCAAAATGAAGCTTATAATAAGAGGAATATACATATACATAATCTAATTATTGAATAATTATACCATAAGAATATATAGATAATATTAGTCAGAAGTTACTCGTGATTTAATCTTCGCTCGGATCTAACAGCTATTGTTCTCATACGTGGTTAACCCTTGTATATATTACTACTCTAAGCCATGACTTGTTGACATTGCTTATCTTCCAGATTATATGTTTACTTGATTTGTGTGTCTCACAGTAATCAACAATTAGTATTTCTGTAGGTTCTGTTTTTACTGGGTAGTATTTAAGAAATGAGTTCATTTGGACTACCGTGCAATGTCACGAGGAAATTTTGTGTCAGGGTTTTGTGACACAGAATAATACATTACTTGTTCATCTATATTATTTTCTCCCCAGGTTGGTGTACATATAGCTGATGTTTCATATTTTGTGAAACCAGACAGTCCAGTTGATAAGGAAGCGGCGTCCAGAGCAACTTCTATATATCTAGTGCAACTGTGCGTGCCTATGCTTCCACGTCTACTTTGTGAAGAACAATGCAGTCTTAATCCAGGAGAAGATAAGTTAGCGTTTTCTGTGGTATTCACTGTAACTGAGGATGCCAAGGTGAGTAAAACAAACCTTTTTACTGTAACGAAATTGTAATATGTAAATTCATGCTATACCATATCACTGGTGCATCACTTAAATATAGATGTAGTTATACTAATATATTTTATATCACACATTCTAATGAGAGATTTTGTTTTCACTTATTACCGCATATTATCTACTAAAATGTGTCATTTTTTGCTATTGCTTTCTAGAGTTTGTGTTTTTTTTTTTTGGTTGTTGATATTAAGAACTGGATTCGATCAGTCTTTGTTTCTATTCACACTCCTTGAGAGGATAACTGTATATTGTCTGTAGTTACATGTAATTCATTATATTTTGGGGTAATACCTTGTATTGAGATCTAGAGTGCGCGATTCTTCATATTTGAAACGTGTGTTAGCTGGATGCACCAGGATCCCAGAATTGTTCACACTAAAAATCACAGTGGGGCAGGTCTGTTTACTCTCTGTTTCTAGATCTTGAATTTTTTTTATTTTTTTCTATATAGCCTTCCATTCCTTCTCGAACCCAATTCTTAATGTTTAGTCCTCATGGCTATTACCAATACATTATTTCTAATCCTTTGATATTAATCTTGTTGAGTTTTCTTTCTCTTTTTGTTAATCTTATGAAAACTTGAGCTAACTCATTTATATCAAGCTTTACGTTGATTATAACTGGATTAGATTCGAACCCAAAACTTATTACCTTAAGCATCACCTCTTTTTCATTAAACTACCAACTTATTAAACGAGTATGATATTATTATTCGTAAGGGTCTGTGTTTTTCCGTTATCGACATTCAGGATTGCTTTCAATTAGTCTATGTGAAATATGGGTATCTTTAAATTAACCCCTCTGAATTTAAATTCTATAGCTAGCTACTATCTAAAAGTTGTAAATAAAGGCAACACTTATAAATTATGACGATGACAATAGTTAATGATTAATTTCTGATTAATATTCGTTGTTTACAATTTGTCTTCATGACAATATGTTAATCGGGATTTGATTATTGCAAAGATTCACATGTACTATGTTTGATTTTTTTCTATTGGTTCGTCAACGCTACCAAAAGTGTCTACTTCAGCTCATATCTTTCACATAGTTCAAAAACGGATATGGAACAGATGTTAAGGAGCTCATTTGTCTACTATTCTTGTTATTACTTAAACAAAGAATAAATTGATATACAGACCAATTTTAAGTAGAACATACTAAGATGAGGCGTTGGTCCATCAGTCAGTCACAACGGAGAACTTGCACGTATGAGTAGTAGAGGTAGTGATAGTGTCGGTGGTAATAGGAAAGATTAGACATCAAAGATACGACTCGAAAAGAACTAGTGAAATAAAAACAAAAAAGTTATGAAGAATTTAGAATCTTAGAATTTCAGTGAAGGCAAAGGAAGGCTGCACCTGCTTCATTGCTAATGATTTTGAGCCATATTATTCAAAGTCCCTAACCATTGGATACGAAAATAACATGTACCCCAACCAGGGAATCTTCACATAGCTAAGTCCAATTAATAGTAATTTCACGAACTAATTCGATATTTTGATTTGACTACCTCTTGTTATTTTCTAGCCTACTTCTGCATCAGGACACCTGGCCCATCGACGTAGGAGGTGGTTGGGCGGACGTAACACATGTCTCAACCACCTTAGCTGATGAAGATTTACTACCTCATCAGTCGATTCCCCTTTTTTGCCTGGTGCTCTATTTATAACTCGGGTATTGCTTGCTCTGTGGTCTCAAAATACATGAGCGATACTTCGTAAACACCTATGATCGAATATCAATAACCTACAAGTATCCTCTACTCTTAATGGTCATGTTTCACATCCATAAAGCGAACTGCTGCACAGTAAGCTTTCCTTTTGGTTAGAGGACGGATATCTTGCATACGTCACGAGTGATGCAGGCTGACAAAAGCCAATGGAGCCTTCTGAATCCGTGTCGAGATTACGTCAGATACCAGACCATCAGGATTAATGAAGCTCCAAAGGCAGGTGAAGTGGTCTATGGATTCAACTACTTCACTCCCTGTCATTAATTCAGGCGATGGCGCAAGCCAATTCTGAAGTAACATTTTACATTTGGAGGAAGAGAACCACATCCCAAACATTTTTGCATGGTTGTTTAAGGTGGTCAGAAGACTACGTTTTGTTAGCGTCTTCACTAAACAGAACTATATCTTTCGCGTATTTTAAGTCAACAAGTGTGTCTCCTAGTAGAGGATGAATCCATAAAAAGTCAGATGCGTTGTTTCATGTTACCTAAAGTTTCAACAGTCAAATACAGCAGATCAAACCGGATATAAACGTGATATTTTTTAAATCATGAATGAAAATTGTTTATCCGATTTACAAACTGTCCAAACGAAGTCTTCCAACTTAAAAACGTGATTCATTAAAAGTGGCATGTTAATGAATATATAGTGAAATATAAGGGATAAACTCATTTGGATTATTGTTATATATATTTTTTGACATGAATTTCATGCATCACATTTTGACAATGATGGTTTTGTTTATACAAAAATATTAACTACCTTATGGTTCTCAGTTTCTTGCTATAATAATTCATATTAAACCTTAAGGTAAGTTATTTATTTTGTTTCTTGACCTTGCAAATTTCTGTTTTGTGTGCCAGGTGAAATTTATTTATCAGAAATTTCTTTTATCGTAATATAGATTTTAACAACATGGTTTGGTCGTACATTTATTCGTTCTTGTTGTAAACTCAGTTATGAAGATGCTCAGGTCAGTCTGTTAAATGGTATATTTGATTAGGTTGTATTATTATTATTATTATTATTATTATTATTATTATTATTATTATTATTATTATTATTATTATTATTATTATTATTATTATTATTATTATTATTATTATATTCAACCATTTTACATTTTAACCATTGAGCTACCAATTCGAACATTGCTTCATCTGTCTATTCTGATGTGGAAAACCAGATAGTATTAATAACCATGATGACGTAGCTCAGTTTAGTAAGTGGACATGTGCTTAATTATTGAATTACATCAATAATCTTTGATTCGAATTTTAGTGTTTGTTGCATTCGGTAGTTTTTATATCTTATGAACTTTTGAAGTGCCAGATTTAAGTTTTCTAGACCTAGTTAACTGTAGTCCTCTAGTTTAAGATGAAATTCCGAAAAATACACTGCATACGTTATGTTTAAATGTGTTTCGATCGTTTCCTATCATATAAAATTTGTCATCTCAATATTAATGTCATTCCACACCATTTCAGGAATTTATTGATCACCCTGATAGGGATTGGTCGTCCAATGAATTTGTCAAGGTAGATCAACCATATACCGTAATGGATATGTGTAAAAATGTCTTGAAGTTAAACGATGTAAGTGCTTCTATTATATTATATTTTCTCTAAACATTCTTCTTTGCTGTACTTCCTTATTCGTCATGATATCAGTTAGATTGATTATATTTAGAAAACATTGAATGGGTCATTACCATTCTTTGTTTATACCATTTGTTTTTTTTTTTTGATGCAAATCAGTCTGTTAAACATGTGTTGTACACTAAGAGCATGTCACCGTCAAATTTTTACAATTTTATGATTGAGCAGTGTCATTTTCTAATGGAAACTATTGACTGGCTCTTATATGCTGGTCAATTTCATAACAATTATAATTTATTTCTCATGCTTTAGCTGGCTACTAAAATGCGTAAAAGTCGTTTTCACTCTGGAGCGCTTCGCTTAGATCAAGTAAAGTCTACCTTTTCTCTTAATAACGAAAATGGACTACCATTGGGTATAGCCCCTTACATTTCGAAGCAGAGTAATTGGCTTATTGAAGAATGGATGTTAGCAGCAAACAAATCAATTGCTGAACGCTTAGCTAAATACTTACCCGACTCAGCTTTTTTGAGACGACATCCACCACCATCTGTAAAACAACTGACCGAAGTTTCGTCTAGTCTAAATGTTGCTGGGATAAATATTAATATTGATTCTGCCGGTTCAATACAGGTATGTATTGATTAAGCATTTTATATTATTTCAAAATTAAACTACTATACTCTGTACGTTTGTTGCTAATTTCTCCCTAGTTTACCATTTTAAGGGACTAGGTCCTTAGTATCAGTAAATGATCACTGAAGCTTTTCACACTAGTAGAATTAATTCATCTACTGGCAAACTCAAATGAATGTTGAAAATCTAAGTAATGTGACAATCGTGTCCGAACTTGGGGACAGTAGTCCTTGAGTTATACAATATAAGAGTGTGCAGCAAGAAACCAGGTTTAACGTTTAGTTTAATTATTGAATGTTGATTACCTAGATATTAGCTTATAGATTTTACGCCAAAATGACCTTTCATTACTGCTGATAAAAAAACGTATATTTGCAATATATTTGTTTGTGTTATTCAGCATTTAAAGTAAAAGTATAGTTGGTTTCTCTCATGAATATCGTTAAATTTTCAGTGCAAAACACAAAGGTGTTCAACTTAGTTGAAAAATACTGAATAAAATTGCATTTAATACCATAGAAATTGTCCTGAATGTATCACGTTGAAAGAGCTGTCACTTGTTTTCAAATAAAAATCTACGTATAATTTTGTCAAGAAACCACACTCTTAGGATTTGAGAAATCTTTGGAAAATACATTTAGTCGCGATTCAATTCTGGTTTGTTTAATTAAACTGTAGAGCTTTCAATTTTTGAAAAGCACTGCTAGTTTCATTTACTGCTAATAGTTTGCAACTCTAATTTCAACAGCAACAAATGATACCTCTTTCCTCTACCTATTCTCGTCGACGATCTATATTCCTCAACGAGGGGTACCAAGCGTAAGTAATTTCAGTAACTATCCTCTACTTCTCTGTTTTCTGGCAAGAGGGAGGAAACTTTAATTTAGGAACCTTATTCATATGCACGCAATAAGATTAGTTCAAACTCAAGTATAACCCATTATATACAGTTAGTGCTTATAAGGTAAAGAAATGATCTAACTGAACAATTGTCGTAAATCATTAATACGATTGAATATTATGCTGAACAACAGTTATGTGAGCAACAAATTACATTTAACTAATTAATACAAATTAATGTTATAATGGGCAAAAATTACTCTAAATTGTTAAGAATAGCAATTAAATGGAAATCATATTTAAACATCAGTACGTAGTGTTTCACTTAATTTCTTCCTACTTAATTGTATTTAGGTATTTAACATCCCCAACAGTACCATATCACTTACAAAATTCGCTTATTGTTAGTATATAATGTCGTCTTAATATCAGTACTAGATACTAAAAGTTTTAAAGCTTAAAATTACCCAAAATTAGTGTAACCCCATTACCTATTCAGCTAAGTAAATAAGAAAATTCAGGTACATTTTTATGCAAATCTTCACTCCATATTTGTGTGTTTATTTATTCAGGATTCAATTTGCCGTGAAGCAGGTTGTAATGTCGAAGTTGGATATCACTACTCAGATGCCCTTGTCAAATTGTGTGATGATTTTATGTCCAATGTTTTGATTCATGATGGCGATTTAATAGAAGAAATGCAAAAAGTGAACCTCAACTCAGTTGTTCAAAAGGAGAAGTTACTACTCAAAACTCTTGAACATGAAGCACGACTTCTTGTTACAGTTGCTTTATTGACTAAAACAATGAATTTGGCTGTCTACTTCTGTTTAGGTCTACTACCATCCGAGTTATCGCCCTCACATTATGCTTTAAATATGCAATTGTACACACATTTCACTTCTCCTATTCGTCGTTACGCAGATGTTATTGTTCACCGGCAATTGTCAGCTACTTTGGCGAAAGAAGAAAGTGATCGTTAGTAATTTTGTTTTACTGTATATCACCTCTAGTTATAACTATCTAGTTTAAATTGTTTCAATATTCCATTAGATGTTTCTTTGCATTTCATATCATTCGATTTCCACTTTAAACTGCTGAATATCTGAGTACGTTACGCAAAATTTAAGTAAAGAGCTGAGTAGTCAGTTTGTCTGTTGAAGATTTATTTAGATTTATGGAAAGTGTTGATATAGTTTTCCCTCACATATATGGTTTATTTACTTAGCCAAGTTAATTCACTTTCTTCACTCCCGATCTACCATAAAGAGTTAAATTTCTAGAATGTATTCAACGTTCTTCGTTCATGACATCTAATCTTGTCTTCAGTTGTAATTTTTCCTGCATTTTTATAAAGTAAATTTTAGGATTGATTTAGACTAATTCGATATTGAACGCGAAGAAAATATGCCTATAGAAGTCCTAATTAGATTTACATAAACTTTGCTGTCAATATCGTAAAAGATTTCTACTTTGTATGCAATCGGTTGTTAGAGCTTCTGGGAAGTATTCCTCGAAAATGCCCATAGAGTCCAGAAAACGCTGGATCTGTTGTCCATAAATTAACCTTGAATTAAAGCGGTTTTTGCTCACTTCGCGCCTTTTCTCTTGTGTTCAAGTTGCTGAGTAGATTCAGCCTGTGATTATTAGAACTATTATTTAAAATAACTGACTGAAAAATTGTGAAGATTCCAAGTAATCCACAATTTGGTGTAGTTTTTTTTCTACAAGTGTATCGATCTAAATTTATGTGGTGTTAACTGTAATATTTTTATGTATTTGCTTATTACTACTCTTGCCAGCTATAACATAATTTGATAGGGTATAATGTCTTTTCTTTATTTCACCCACTTCTCAATGATAGCTGAAAAAGCAGATTGGTATTTAAGTACAGCCTTTCCAAAAGAAATGACGCCAGTCGAATTGCAACAACAAGCTGAGGTTTGCAATTCTAAAAAATTGTCTGCCCGACTTGCTGGGGAAGAAAGTGCTGAATTATTCTTTGTTCTGTTTGTCAAGGTAATTGGTTTTTCTAAGAATATATATATATATATATCTGTTTTAAAAATATAGCACATAGTTATGCATAGATAGTTTTCTTTTCCCAAAAGGAATCTCATTGATTATCAAGAATTATTTCAATTGATATAAATGGATTAAGTTGTGATGCGTAATATTTCTTATATCTTCCTAAAAATTAGGAAACAGGTCCATTTAACGAAGTATGCGCTGTAACATCTGTGCTCGATCGTTCATTTGACGTCCTTATCCTTTCTTGTGGTCTCACTAAAAGAGTTTATTTACAGGTTAGTTTGCTAGTCTCATTTTTCGAGCGCTCTGTTGTTATTGTTTTTGTCTGTTATATTTTTTCGTTTGATCCTTGATTTGTACGACAAATTTTTCTGATGGATGTTTTTTGGCTCAACTGGATGCTTTCTGTAGTGCTATGTTCTGACTTGGATTGTTTAATACTTGAGCTCACATTGTCATCGTTATCCTAAGAAATGACTACCAACGCCTAAATCAAGTGAAGACGAAACGTATGAAAACAACTTATCACCAACCATATCATCAGCACATATTAATTAAGGACTTTTGGAATAAGTTGTTTAAAGTTCATTTCTTTTAAGGTAGGTCCTGGTGACATCCAGAACGACAATAAAATATCTCCAATTAGATTATACTAAACCGCTTGAAGTGAATTATCGTGCCATTATTCTTTCAGATCTTAGGTCATCAGTTTTTGTAAATAGATGTTTCGTTTTCGTTTTAGTTCTCGTAACCTAGTCCGTACTACTGAAAAGTATCACATTACTTCGAAAAGTCTGTCAAGTGCTCCCTGGTTTACAATAATACTAAAACTACCATTGATTTGTGATGAATACTACCTGAATGTAGTATGTATAAGTATAAGTGGTATGAAAATTCACAGATTCGAAGGCTTAACTACATCACATAAATTCAGTTGATATTTGAAAATGTTAAGTGTTGTACTTTAAAATTGATAGAAGTAATGAAACCATTGTAGGTCATTGTTAAAAAATCAATACTATTTGTCCCTTGTTTACCAGTGCAATTCTATCTTAATTTAGTACTTTATCTGTTTTGTTAATTTCTTTTCTCTTCTTACCGGAACTGGGGCACCATAGTACTTGATTTTTGATGAGTAATGTGTTTGCTCCATACCTAATTTCTGTTCTAACTCACATTTGTTAGTGAGTGTTACTGTTGTCTGATTGTCATTTCAATACACTTTTATTTCTTTAATATTAGAATCTAAATTTGAAAAGTTATGAATTTGTTCCTCCCAAAACCGCTATGGGAAAAGTCGTGGAGAGTGGAAAACTCTGTCTTCTGTGGAATAGTGATTTATTAGAAAATTTCAATATAAAGGGTTCGGATTCTGCAGATTGTATTCAAAATATTACTGTTAGTTCGAAAACTACATTATCAAGTTGTGATTGCTTTTATATGGAAATTAAAGTTTTTGATGTTGTCCGGTGTCGCGTTTCAGTTGATTCTTGCAGTTCAATAGACGATGCCAGTCAGTGTGGTCGTCAAAATACCTTATTGCCAAAATTACTTGTATGTCCAATTATTGTTTAATAATTTGTATTTAAATGCACATAAAAATGCCTTGTGGACGGATATTCATCTGTTCTTAAAATATAAAATAAGTGTGATTTAGTAAGGGAAGGATGCTGTTGTTAATGGTGTAGTATAGTGTTACTCTTTTGTAACTCATACCCTTTCTTCGTCTTCATTTGTATCTCTTATAAGAAATTAGTAAACACCAGTAAAATAACACGGCATGTGAGTTTTCTGTATTTTACAACATCCGATCAATGCTACGTTTCATGCGGCCTGTATTTTTGTAATGTTCCAGTAATTTGAAAATGTGATTCACTTATGACATTTTAACCTATATGAAATCCTTTGTATGTAACTTAGTTGATTCAATGTAGCTCAGTTACTATGATGCGTTTACTCAGTGGTTGAATCGTTCGACTTTCAGCCACTAAGTTATAGGTTCGAATCCCTGTTCATCTACTTCGGTTCGAAAGCTTTATTGTATCATTGACCGTTTGTTTGTATAGCAAGTTCTATTTTTGATATCCACTTGTACCAGATTTTATGCATAGTTAATAATATAATTAAAATACCTCAGTAACCATTCACAAATTTATATACTATATGTTATGGCTTGTAATACTGCACGGATTCAAAAAGCTCGTTTGGCTTTCGCCAACTTACCTCACCTATGACAAAAGCGAGATATTCGTCTATCGTTTAAGGGACGAGTATACTTTGCAGCCGTTCGTTCTGTTTTAATTCATAACTGAGAAAAATTAATAGTAGAGGATACTCGTAAGGTACTAGTATTCGATCACGGATATCTTAGAAATATTGCTCATATTTACTGGGATCACTGGGTAAATAATAGTAAGGTTAGACACACGGTATTGTGGTAAATCAGTCGATGAGGTTGTGAATCTTTATGGACTGAGATGGTTGGGTCACATATTACGTATACCCAGCTCCCGACTACCACGTCGCGCAGTGCTGACTTGTGTTGTAGACGGCTGGAAGAAATTTAGGGATGACCAAGGTAAAACGTGATATCAGTCCATAAAGTCACTAACTTCTGGTCTGATTCATGTTGGTAGATGTAGACTACTTGGTTGGGGTCCGCATGACTATCGTAACCAATAGTTAGAGACTTGGTTACATGGCTCAGAATTGATCACAAAGCATAAGTGAATATCCTCTGTGTCTTCCCTTAAACCGTGAGATTAAGACTACTTTCTACAAACCAATTCATCTCCCTTCTATCATACTTACTTACGTACGCCTGTTACCCCTCGTGCAGGACCATAGGCTGCCTAGGAGTACGCTCCACCCAGCCGTGTCCTGGGCAATCCTTTCCAATTGTTTCCATTTATTATTCATCTTTTTTATGTCTGCTTCCATTTCCCGACGTAATATGTTCTTCGATTTTCTTTTCTGTTTTCCTTCAGGATTCCGAGTTGGGGCTTGTCTCATAGTGCAGTTCGATTATTTCCATAATATATGTCCCATACACTTTCAACGTCTTAGTTTCCTCTTCAACTGGAAGATGGTTTGTTCTCTCCCATAGTAGGCTGTTGCTGACAGCATCCTGCCAACGGACATTGATTATTTTTCGCAGACAACTGTTTCTAAATACTTGTACCCTCGAAGTTCCAGTTCCATATAGTAGAACTGTCTTGATGTTCGTATTGGAGATTCTGACTTTGATGTTGAATGACAGTTGATTTGAGTTCCATATTTTTTTCAACTGTAGAAATGCGGCCCTTTCCCAATCCTCGCCTTTACGTCTGCATCAGATCCCCTTTGTTCATCGATGATGCTTCCCAAATAAGTGAAACTTTCCACCTCTTCCAGAGTTTCTCTGTAAAGTGTGATCGGGCTGGTATTCTCCGTATTGTGTTTGGGGATGTTGCTTTTCCTCTTGTGTATGTTGGGGCATACTGATGCAGAAACTGCTGCTACACTGTTTGTCGTAACCTGCATTTATTGGTGTGTATGGGATAGAAGAACTATGTCATCTGTGCAATCTAGTTGCATGCAACATGTCCATTGTATTCCGTGCTTCCCCTTAGATGTGGAGGTCTTCATAATTCAGTCAACCACCAGAAGAAAGAGAAAGGTGGAAATTAAGCAGCCTTGTCTGATTGCAGTCCTTACTTGGAATGTGGCTGTCAGCTCTCCTCCATACACGACTGTAGTCTGTCGTATGAGTTCTGGATAATATTGACAATCGTTTCAGGTACACCATAGTGTCGAAGAAGTTCCCATAAGGTCGTCCTATACACACTGAAACGCCTTCTCATAGTCAATGAAGTTGATGTATTGTGACGAGTTCCACTCAACTGATTGTTCAGCGATGGTGCGTAGTGTGGCGATTTGGTCTGTGTGTGACCGATCCTTACGGAATCCAGCTTGTTGATCCCGAAGTTAGACGTCTACTGAGTCTTTCATCCGGTTCGGCAACACTTTTGAAAACGTTTCTTTGTATCGACAGTAGTGTGATTTCTCTATAGTTTCACATAATCAGAGAATGCGTGTGAATCTCAGCTTTATTTCATGACAAACAGAGACAAGGATAACGTTTTCAGGACGTTTACAATGAATCATTGTGAACGATAAAAATATCTTCCTATTTCCATCAAACAAAATTGAAACTTAAACAAAAGTCTGATTTTAGAAAAGAACATAATTAAGACTAAGATTATGCCAAAATTATATTAAATTATTGAGAATGAAATTTAAATAATAGTAACTAATTTTCGCCGATGTATCATAAGATCCTTATTTCCTCGATCGTTGGTGGAGTGACATCTATTGAAATGTCTGTAGGTGCTGCTTCGTTGTCTGCTGGGTTCAGTGGAGCTGGTCTATACAAGAGTTCCTCGAAGCATTCTATCCATCTATTCCTCTGTTATTGAATCTCCGTGATTGTCTTGCCTTCTTTGTCCTTGACTGGTTTTCCTGGTTTAGTATATTTTCCTTATAGTTTCTTCGTTGTGTCATATAGTTGTCTCATATTTCCTTCTCTTGCAGAGTTCTCCACTTCTTGCAACTGTAATGTGCCTCTTCACTTGTTTATTTGCTTCTGTGCATTCAGTTTGTGCTTTGACTTTCTCTGTTCATGTTCGGCTGTTGTTAATTGCTGTCTTCTTGTTCTTGATTTCTTGAATCTTGTCCAGGGTTTCCATAGAGATCCATTCCCTATAATGATGCTTGTTGCGACCCAGAACCTCCTGGCATGTTAACGTTAATGCTACTTTGACTCCTTTCCAGTTGTCCTCCATAACGGTTTCGTCTTCTTTCAGTAGATCCTGTAAGGCTTGGGACCTTTTGTTCATGTCCATGTCGTCCCATGTTATCTTCATATCCGGTGTTATCCATCCCGACTTTGGCACTTAGATCTCCCATCACGATGGTGAGATCCTTTCTTAAGCAATTCTCTGTGATTGATTGCAGCCTTTCATAGAATTGATCTTTAATGTCGTCGTTGCTATCATTGGTGGGTTCATACCGTTGGATAACTTTCATCGTGACTCCCTCCTTTGTTTTGAAGGATGCTTTGATTATTCTGGATCCATGAGATTCCCATCCTTTAAGTGAATTTTGTGCTCCTTTAGATAGCATCAGAGCAACTGCCTGAGTTTGTGGAGCATTTTCCTCTCCGTGATCTGAGTACAGCAGCATTTCTTCCGTACCTACCCTTTGTTGTTCAGCTTGGATCCAATGGGTTTCGCTGATTCTGAGTACTGTCAAGTTGTATCTCCTCATTTCCGTTGCTATTTGGTTGGCCCTCACGGTCTCCTACATTGTCCGGCCATTCTGTGTACCTATAGTAATAGTTACTCTGGTTGTTAGGTGGCATCAACCTCGTGAATTCCGAAGAGTCTTGACTTTCATCCTGAGGCGTCATAATTCTTCCTCAAACTCCCCGGTCAGAGTTTAAATAGTCTAGTTTGCTTAACCTGGTTAGCTTTGTCTTAGCAAGATTTTTCCCTACGGGATACGGTTGCCCATGTCCATGTCCAACTATTCTCCTTTACCAGGTTTTGGGACCGTCAGTAACTCTAGAAGTGCTACAAGCGGAGTTCCCTGCATCATATCCTTATATGAAATTTTTTTACTACCATCGATGTGACTTTCTATGAATTTAGTGTTCATCTAGTTGTGCTAATGATATAAGGCAGCTTGGACCGATGCATATATGTTCTTGGTTCTACATTGCAGATTACTGACTGACTGTAATTCTGTCCTGTTTACCAAACTCAAATGAGTTAAACATGCTCTAACTTAGCCGTTTGATTGTTTAAATACCGGTACTTTAAACACCTAATTGCCGCTACGTGCATAGTGTTGCTAGTAGTTAGGAAGTAATTCGTATGCTATTGTCAATGTGTACAGGCGAACTCTTACAAAACCCATAGACCATTCCCAAAATAAATTTCACAGTTAATCGTATTTAAAGAAATTAAACATTATTTCGATCTTGTACACTAATGATCATATTCGGTTACTTGCTTAGCATGCATAAACATTTAAAAGTTGTTAAAGTTGTATTCGAAGGCTTAGTTTCTGTGTGGATTTAAAGTCAGAATATTCACTATAAAACTTTTAAATAAACAGTTCTGAATTTTGTTATTTTTCAAACTTTCTTTCTACCCCATTAACAGGTTACACTACTACGGTCAACATGTAAAGAATGTCACGTTGTTTAATTAACTAAATAACTTTCATTAATGAAGAATTGGACAAATTGTACAATGTTGTAATATATGTATAACTAAATGCTACCTTTCTACATTCGTGAAAATAATGTTTGTTTTTGTTTATAGACATCCTTTTGTTTACTACTAAGCTGTGATGTTACGGTTATACTATTAGTATATTATTGTTGTTAAATATATTTTGTGGTTTATAAGTTAGGTCCCTCATCGAATTTGTAAATTTGAATTATTGAATGTTCTTCTATTAAGTACAAGTAAATAAGTATAAATATGACAGGTTAGCTGGTTGATAAAATACTGTAGTGAATAATCGCCAGGTGATTTCAAACTGAATGCAGTGGGTTTGTAAAAATGGTCATACATGTAGCAGTGGAACTATCAAAGCTATTATCCCATGCTTCATATGTCTCTCTGCAGCTGATTATTTTAAGGACTTTCAACCAGTAGTGCGCACTATTATAAATACTTCAGCTAAACAGCCCAAGTGGCGTTACTAGAACTTGAGAAATACGTGTGATTCATAGTTTATTACTGACGTTTGTACTGGCTTGAGCAGTTTGGTAGTAAACTGTGATCAGTTTATATAAGGTGTTTAGGTAGATGCTTTCTGAATTTAAAGTTTGTGTCTAGCTGTAAAACCAAAACATGCTTAAAATCAATACTTATATGGCTAAATCTTGTCTCCACATGAGTCAATGCGTATTCATTTCAGGTTCGATGTTGACTATCACTGATATTTAAGTGTAAACTTTTTGATGAACCAACTATAATCTGTTATTATAAATCTCTGATAATTTTATATATCATGATTTCCTTTACCTATGTCTCGTTTGAATAAATCAATAAGGTATTCTGTGCTTAATACTGAGGCTTCCCCTTTTTAAATCTTATTGAATAATATTAGTTGTCATCAGAGGTTGTGTAGGGGTTGGTACTATGTCAAGCCCACGTAAGTTATTCTAACCTCTGGACAGACAAATCTGCTCATTCTTCTCAAGTCACATTCTTACTTTGTTACTTATTCGCTTATTAACTTTGTTTTTATTTGAGTGTATGTGTGTTGATTACTTACCCTACTCATTATGTGTCTAAACTATTTTTGTTTGACTATAAATATCGAGTCACGCTTTATTAAAACGAGTTGACTCACTCGCCTTATCCACTGAGTGTCCTCACGTTGCGTTTCTTAATTATCAGACGCCTATCTAAGACTCGTGAACTGCAAACACGAGAGACTCAAGCTGGCTTCAGACCTGGTCGTGGCTGCATCGACCACATATTCACCATTCGTCAGGTTCTAGAACACAGGCATACTTATCGGCGTCCGACAATGGTGGTCTTTCTCGACTTAAAAGCAGCATTTGACTCTGTAGACCGCGAGATTCTGTGGCAGTGTCTGTCATTGAAAGGCGTACCCCAGAAGTACATAAACCTTGTAAAGGCTCTTTACTCGAACACTTCTAGTCAAGTCGGAGCTTATGGCAAACTGTCATCTACTTTTGCAACCTCAAGTGGTGTCCGTCAAGGCTGTCCACTTTCTCCATTTTTGTTTAACTTCATCATAGATCTACTGATGGAAATAACTTTCTCGTCGACTGAGTTCTCGGGTATTGATCTCCATCCAGGAGGTCCACTTATCGACTTAGAATACGCAGATGACATAGTCCTGTTTGGTGAAGACGCTGACAAAATGCAGAGTCTTCTGGTAGCACTGAGCAACAATGCCAGGATGTTTGGGATGCGCTTCTCTCCCTCTAAATGCAAGTTGTTGCTCCAGGACTGGTCTGCGTCAACACCTGAACTAAGGATAGGGAGTGAAGTAGTCGAACGCGTCGACAACTTCACTTATCTTGGAAGTCTGGTCAGCCCTAATGGGCTGGTATCGGACGAAATCTCAGCACGGATTCGAAAAGCTCGTTTGGCTTTTGCCAACCTGCGTCACCTATGGCGAAGGCGAGATATCCGTCTATCAATAAAAGGACGAGTATACTGCGCGGCAGTCCGTTCTGTTTTAATTTACGGCAGCGAAACATGGCCATTAAGAGTAGAAGACACTCGTAAGCTATTAGTATTTGACCACAGATGCTTTAGAAATATTGCTGGCGTCTGCTGGGATCACCGGGTAAGTAATAGTGAGGTTAGACGTAGGGTATTAGGGAATGATGGTAAATCAGTTGATGAGGTTGTGAATCTTCATCGACTGAGATGGTTGGGCCACGTGTTACGTATGCCTGAACACCGACTACCACGACGTGCAATGTTATCCGGTATTGGAGATGGTTGGAAGTTAGGGGCGGCCAAACCAAAACGTGGCATCAGTGCTTGAAGACACTAACTTCTAGTCTGAGCCATGTTAGTAGGTGCAGACTACCTGGTTGGGGTCCACGTGACTATCGTAACCATTGGTTGGAGACTCTGTGTGACATGGCTCAGAATCGACCACAATGGCGTCGGTGTATACACTCCCTGTCTTCCCTTAAACTAAGAGATTAAAATCACTTCATATCTTTCTTTCTACGAACCAATTCTTTCTTCTTGTACTATATCTCTATATGCAATCTTTCTCTTACATATTACTACCTTTGACCTAACCACTGCTATGAATCCGGTGTTCATCTTGTGCTGATGCGGTATGGCAACTTGGACGATGCACATATGTGCCTGGTCCTACGTTGTAGCTGACTGACTGACTGACGTTGCGTTTCTCTTTCTCCGCTTCGTTTCTCTGATCGTCTCTCTGGATCAACGATTGTATAAAATATACATATTCGAAATCCATTCTCGTATTTGACTTGTTTAGTCCTATTATTCACCAACGTGATTTAAGTCGATAAAATTATACACGAGGGTATTCCGGATTTATATTTCGATAGTAATCATTCATCCAATTTAATTGGAATCCGGTAAAGGGTTACTAACTTTGTTGATGTAATGATAGTGCATATGATTCGTTAGAATTGTCATCAAAACTAAAAACGCCACATGCCGTGGTACGGTCGAAAGTGGTAAGAACCAACTCTCCCTCTCAAAACGCTCTCACATGACCACGCGTGTACAGCCGCTGCCAGGGAAGTCCTACTCATTGTCTTCTCGCGGCAGGGATATTGTTTACGAAGTCGAGAGGACGAAAATCTAATTTTCGGCGCTTTAACCGGGTTGGTGGATGTGGAGGACCCATCTAGCGGAGTTGGGAAAAATCCTGATTCCAAATCAATAGTTCATATATGCTCCAGAATCCTGTGGGCATAAATGGCATATGAACCTATTGTTGGTCACCGGCTACTATGGGACTGCATCTCCTAACGTTGCTCCGCTGCCTTAGACCTTTAGGTCAATGGCTCGAGGAGTGGTCTCCTAAGAAAACCATTTGCTCCAGTTTGGGAGCCCGGACAGCATCACAGTTCTCACAGAAATCAAGTGATTTCTGAGGCTCATATCTATTTGGTGCATCCTTGTACCGATGTTTATGAGTTTAAATAAATATTAAAATGTCTTATATACGCGCGTAAAAGCGAAACTCGACGTAGCTAATGCTGTAATTTGTACTTTAGAAATATCTTGTATTATATAGCACTGCATAAGTTTTTTAACACTACATTGGTGATCACTTTTGTTCATTATGGGTGTTCTGAAAATTCTGATTGTTGAATAAAATGTTGCTTATGACTTGTAATAATTTTTTATTCACATTGGCTATCCAGTTATAATAGTCATCTGGTTTTTCTGAATATATTAAACATGGTTGTTTTTTGACGATGTTAATTTTGTCCGACGTTTGGACTGAGCAAAAACAACAACTTTTGTCATTCAAATTATAAATTTATATTCCAATTCTTTCGCTTTCATTTTCGATGTACTTTATACTCCTCAGAATGACTTGATAGTATCAGTGTTAATGCTCACTTTATGAAATATATACTTTTTTCAAGATTCAATTACTTTTTATGTAACATATTATTTGACATGTTGATATCTTTTTTATTTATGATTGTATTGAATGGGTTGATATAATACATTTTTCGTATTTTCGAATGTTATAAAAATATTTTTTAATCAAGTAACTGTTCTTATCTTATGATACTTTAAAATAAGGTAGTACAAGTTGTGTGTTTCTTGAACACCATTGTAATTTTTTAGTTTGCAGCTTTGATATATGTCTTTGACTAGCTTAGCTCCAAAGGGTATGAGTTTCTTCAGCCATACTCTTGTTATCTCTTAGCTACACTAACTGTTGTAGCGGTAATTGCCCATCATATTTATGTAAGGTTATTGCATTATTATTCACATCTATCGAAATAATTGGATTTTGATATATCAGATATTAACCTATTCAGTCTGTAGAACTGCTTAAATTAAATTTGTCAGGAAACTGCTTCGCAGTTTGTGGTCGTAAAACTTTGAATGTAAAATTACTGACGTGATACTAATGCGTAAGAATGTTTGTACTCTTAAGTTGTGTTTAGGTAATAATATACTCTGAACTCATGCTTTTGGTAACATAACTTCAGCAAAAGTCGGCTTTAAATTGATGCCATAGACACCTAAACGTTTGGAAGTAATTTAATTGATATAGAATAAAGTTTATGAGATAACTCAGAAATACTTATTTTGAAATAGTGAGTTACGTAAACCGATTGTACATGAATGCGTATTGAGTGGGTGATTGTACTGAACCATCGACCTGAGTAATATTTCGCCTTACCATTAGGGTTTTTAAGTTAACATTGTGCCACCAATATTTGAATTGATTGTATTAGCTGATATTGGTGGTAACTGTGATTTTAACCAATCAGAAATGAAAGTTTCGAGAAACAAGTATTCGTTACCACAGACCTTTTCTAGGGGCTAAATGTTAATTATGATTTAAGTTATTATAATTATTTGGTGATTTGAAGACCAAATTGATGTAACAAACTCCCAGAGTATTCGAAGTGTTCCATGTCTTGAAGTCAAATCAAACTGTTATATTTGAATTGTATTGCACATTTATTCTATGCTGTAGCTAGTAAATACTATAAATATGCATATTCTTGTAGTAAATTTTTCTAAGTTTAGTTATACTCTTACATTGATGTCATTCTCAGCTTTCGTACCTTAATAGTTTATAGACATACGTGAGAACAAGTTAATAATATCTGTTATATTGAATAGATAGAATGTGGCTAGCGATGGTGTCCATGTCGCGCGTTTCGTCTGTAGTAGGTCCAGTGTGGTCTGCAGTGGTCGCACACTGCCGAGGAATTCCATACTACGCTGCGACACCTGTACAGTGCTCCCAGGTTTTATATATTATTCTAACTTGGATCGGTTCATAGTTCCAATTAGGCTCAAAAATTCAATGAATGAACCTATAAATGTTTATTTTCTTTCCATAGTTGTCATTTTACACTTTATTCGGTACACTATCTAACTAACAATATGAATCAATTATTTTAGATACAATTTTACGATAATGATTCTGTAATATTGTCCTCACTTGGTCTTTCGTAACGCGATGTGGCTGGGCGTTCAAAATCCTTTGCGATACCGCTGTATAAAACCTAGTGGATTTTCTTACTGGCCCTTCCATAACATCAATAATAAAGTCAGAAGGACTTCACCTATTATTTGTTATCGGAGATTTTTCAGCTCATTGTCTAGTTCATCCGTACCTCTTGGTGATTCGAATAGTCAGGTCAGCTTTTTTAGTTGTCCGAATAATCTCATTTCATTATTTGATATTGTTAATTTATTTGTTATGTAATTTGGCTTCTCAAATAGCTTGCAAATACAATAGTTCTTTTGGTTCGTTACTTATTATCTGAAAGCGCCATCTATCAAGGTAGAAGACATGTTAACTACTGTTTTTTTTTATCATAGTTCTCATCGGAGCTTTGCTCACTTCTTATGTCAGTCAGTCAGTCAACTACAGTGTAGGACCAGGCACATATATGCATCGGTCCAAGTTGCCATACTTCATTAGCACGATAAAATGAACACGAAATTCATAGTAGTTACTTCAATGGTAGTAATATATGAGAGAAAAATTGTGTAATTATGTTGAAACCATCGAACGAGAAATACCGAGGTTTAATTCAGTATAGTAGGTGTACGTGATAAATCTGTTGATGAAGCTGTTAATCTTCAATGGAGGTGACTGGGACGTGTTGCGTATGCTCAGCAACCAGTTTACCTCGACTCACAATGTTGGTTAGAGTTGAATTAGGTTGAAAATGAATTATAGATGACTGACAAAAGTCATAGCATCATTCCACTCAATCGTTGTGTATTGGACAGTCGTTTTTATAAATGCAGACTATCTAGTTATACTGGGGGCATCGGTGGTTGGATAAGTCGCGTGACATAATTCATATTCAGTTACAGTGTCTGTGTCTGTCCCTTCCAATGTTGAGCTTCAACATTGTTTTGTACTTTTCATTTATAGAATTCATCTCTTTCCGAATTATTTTCTATAAGGCTTAGATTGTGCTCAACACCACCGGTACTACTACTACTACTACTGATTATTTTAACTCATGCAGTTTTATCTTGTCAATTTTATTTTGCGATTGTAGAGTAGTATGGTAATGCGCTGGTACATATTTATACCAGGTATTATCTTGATTATGATTGACCACCTGACCTAAATGGTTTACTTCTTCATTAGTGGTATATAACAACAGAAATATATTAGCGTCTATGTTAGTAGTGAATAATAGATCGTTTTCTTTCGAAAATCGTTAAATATCTTTGCGAACTTTCCGATTGTTTATGGCAGATCCTATGGATACTTGTCGTCAATTGGAGCACCAATTGATTACCGGACCAATGACTCATAAACCAATCCTAACAGCCTAGAGTCGCTCTGAGTTCTTATTGAACCTCCGAGACAGTAGCTTCTCACCTAACCCAGCCGATTCACTGTAAAACACCAATATCTGCCTATTCTATATGAATCTTGTATATATGTATCTATGTATTCAAGTAAATCAGACTTCATCATACTATAAAACATAAAATAAAAATTATACAAGATCAGGCCAAAAATGGCTGAGTGTGAGATACTGTATCTAATAAATTGGGAACAAGTTGAGAATGGTAAATCGTATAATAGTAGTTAATAGGTCAAATGGAAGCTTATAATGAAAAGAATATGTATGTACATATAATATAGTTACTTAGTAGTTATACAATAAGAATATATATAATTAGTCTATAAATAGATTCTAGCAGTTACTATTCACTTATTCTTCGTCCGGATATGATATATACTCATATTGTAATAATGATCATCATCTGTTTGTATATTTTAGTAGCGTTGTGCAAAATTCAAGAGTTAAATAATGGTACATATATAATGAAATTTGCACTTTCCTAATTTTTGTTATGGTATTTTTTATAAGGGAACCTTAATTAATGTTATTATCTAAATAGAATTACAGAAGGAGCATATCATATATTAGTATTTTGACATGATAAACAGGCGTTTTCAGCCAAACTAGATGACTCTACTGCTTTCAAGAGAAATTTGTTCCTCTTTCTGTGTTAAAATTTCTGCCTTTCTGAAATGCTCGTATTCATTTAATTATAGCTTTATCACTTTAAAACTGCTTCTGGCTTTGTTATTTATTGTATCGCTAATTTGAAAATCCTCCTCTATTTAGTCTTTGAACATATGGAAAAGGCATACATTTTTTGCCGTTAAATGAGAAATGTCCAATGGTTTATCGGTAATTCCACAATAATAGGACAATAATTTGGAAAGTATATCAACATTCCCTAGAAATTAATTCATAGTATTTCTTTGCTAAGCTACATAATTGGTGTTACTAAGGTTAATTTCATGTCAAGGTTTACAACTTCAATCGGTAGATTTTACTATGAGCCCTAAAATTTCGATGTATCATTATTATAGACATAAATTTCAATTAGTTCAAAATTGTCATGCAAGATGTACATCATGAATCCACACAGGGTATGCTTTATACGATAAGATCCAGTATGAATTAAGAATATACTGCCAGCTTTTTTAAACTTTGGGACTAATTTATAAAATCCCAATTAGGAAAAATAAATCGAAACAAACAAATTTTTCTAACTTGCTTAATATTCACTGTCCTCAAACAAGATTAATTTATTATATTAGTGTTTTCATCTTCCTCACCATGGTCCGAAATACCATTCGTATCCATGACTCAACTCCTAAACTCGGTATACAACCCCCTCTATCTGCGTTCACATGTAAATGTTGTTTCATGTAATTGTTTACGTTCTTCTACTACGTTGGTGGCAGTGTTGACGTTTTAAATTCCGCCTTTTTACTTTACTTGGTTTTCTACACTATTACTGTATTTGTTTTTTATTTCTAAACTTCACCAAGCCATTATAAACCAATCTCAAGCTTGTCTAACACATTACTGATCGGATCTTGTTGATAGATTTGGTTTGTGTCCATAAGTCTGAATGATTCAATATCTCATGTACCGGGATTTTAGTTAATCGGTAAATGAGAATCAATTGCAAGCCCTGCTTATTAATTACCTTCAGTTTTCTAATTTCTGAAATTTATAATCATTGTCTTCTTTCTTTAAACATACATAGCACTCTCGTCAAACAAAAAAGAAAGTTGATTTTAGCTGTGAAAATATTGATGCACGTCTTGAGAAAGGTAGTTTAATTCAGGTTAGTGAACAAATATTAGTTTTAAATCTCATTGAGTATTCTATCTTTTGGACTAATGACATTGGATTTGTTATTCATAAATGTTTTTGTATTGAGTGCTTAATTATGAATGTAAAATATTGTTAGATACATTTTATTTTGATGCAAGTTTAAATGCTTATATAAAGTCATTTTCCTAAAAATAGTACTCACTTGATAGGTTTCCATGATTTTCATCTCCCTGATGTTATGAAACACTTTCCTCGACTGTATGTAGAAAAATGATTTTTTCATTTTTCGTGTTATGAAAACTTTAGAAAATAGATCAAATGTCTTGTAAGGAAGTTGGATAATAATGTTTTCATAGTGATTCCGGATGGTCAGTATTCAAATTTGGGGCATTTTATAGCACACCATTTATGTTTTACAATATAATATAATATAAGGAATGAGGTAACCATAAAATGAGGTTTTTCATTTATTAAACTAGTTATGTATTGAAACAGATATTTGTTTTTTCAGTTTTTTATTTTAGCCCCAGTCTCAAACCACTCACCTATTCTGACTATTTTTCCTGAAAATATTACACTTTATTCTCATATGATTCTTTGACGTCATAACAATCAGATAATAATAATGACTAACCATGACATGATAAATTAACTTTACCAAGTGACCGTACAAAATTTGTAGCACAACTAAAGCACGACATTTTATTATTCTTTTGTGTTAAAATGCTTTACGAAAAATTTCATCCAAGTTGTCAGAGATTCTGTTCATACCGAATCTTTTGTTTTCACATATCGGAACAATTTAATGACCGCTTGGTCAAGTACAAAATTGTAACTCGTGTTTAATTGTGTTTATATGAACACTTCTGCTATGATAGTCAGAATAAAAGTGTAAAGTTTAACTTCAATCTGTATTGTTTGAAGTTTAAGAGGAATCTTTAACTCACGAACTTGAAACTCCATCTCAGATTATCTTTTGTTTGTGGTAGGTCTATCGAAGCATCCAGGTCACCCAGTTGAGATACGCTCGAAACCGATGTTCGCAAAACAACGATTTTTCTAGAATAGCGGTTCGTTATTGAATATTGCACAAAAATTAGTTACAATCCTCAACTTGTAAGGTGTCTGTGATGTTTAACGCGTTCTTTTGTGTGGAATAAAAAGACTTCCTGTAACAACAATTACAACGTACGATAATACAAAAGACAGCTGATAGTTGTGTTTAAATTTGGTAACAGTTTATCAACAACCGAAACCCGAAACAAGAGCAAAACAATATGGAGGCCGTTGCGTTTAAATGAATACACAAAACTGTAGATAACTTTACAGTGATTAAGGTAAAGTAGTCATAATGATAAGTACAATAAACTCTATAAACATGTTTAAATGTTTCAGAATATTACACGACGAACTTGCGTCACAACATAAATTTGAAAATTACTGGGAATACAACCATTTACTGAATGTAAATAAGTTGTATAAGGCAATATGCAAAAGAGTGGGAGACAAACGAGTATGAACAATCTAAATCACACTTAAATTATAAAGGTTCATAATGATTGATATTATGAACCGATATGAGTTATTCATTAAAAACTTGGGAACAGTTGAAACTTGTTTGGTTTAGGCTTTTATCGATGACATTGTTAATTTCGCTACTTGATTAACACAGAATACGGGTTACAAGAGATATAACTTCGATCGCTTCGTGATCTCAATAATATTCAACAATCTCCACAGCCTTCATACTGATAATAAATGAAGTATTTGAAGATCATATTCAACGTTGATGACACAGTTTTGTTCTATGCACTCATTCAAAGTTAGCATGTATATTCGGCACACAGTACTCAAGTCATTCGAGTCCGCTTTCTTTTTTTCTCAGGCTAAATTATATGAAATATCACGAGAAAATTTTCATGTGATAAATCCATACGATGGTAAACGTATTCAAATTTCTCATGAAAATTGTAACAATGCACGTAATGGAGATATTGTTTTGGTTGAATTATTGCCTATTGGAAAATGGAAAGTAAATCCCTTGATATATTTTCCCATAATCAATTTTATTTACTTACCATGTGTTACCAATTTGTGGATTATATATTTGTTGATGACGTTTGACGAACGCTAACGTGACATTGGTCACCTACATACTAGGGTTAAAATAGGGTTATAAATTAGTATAAAGAATTAGAATTAGAATTTATGGTTAAGCATTAAAATAAGGGTTTTCATCACGAACTGACATTAGCTCTAATCCAAAAATACTATTTAACTGTATGAATGGATGAACTTCACGTCTAAATCCAGGGATTGCTATCTGTATTTTCACTAGTTCGTTCATAAATTATAGTCTCGCATTTTTGTTTATTACGTTTAATATTTACCATCATTGTACGAATAGTGTATTTGATCTCGATTGCTACTTCAATTAGTTCAACTCATTTTCTATTCACCTCGTTAATTTCGATTCTTTACGTGTATGTGATAACGGACATCTTGGGTTAGCACACATTTATGCTTGGCTCCACATTAATTATGACTAACTGATAGATTAGAAACATAAATCGTTTATCTTCATTTGTAAATATGGATTTGTTACATGTGTTTAGTTAGTAGAGCTAATTTTTTGTTATGAAATGTCAATGTGTTTTTATTCTATGACAGTTCATAAACATCCCACTGTTTTCATTTCTTTTGGGAAATACAAAAATATTTTTTCAGTCAACTAACTGAAATCTAGAAGTTTAAATTGTCTTTTAAAATCTATCTGGTTATCGTTTTATTATTTTCCACCAAAAAGATACACAACGAAACAGTCTGATGATGTTTTGAGCACTATAGTACATATTGTGAGTACTGTTCACTCATTGTAGTGATTACTCTTTTCTATCATAACTTTCTTAATTGTATTAGACAGTTGAAGCCAACCAACAAATAAGTCACTGCTTTAGCTTCCATGTTAAACTTTAGGAGGATGATCTCATCCCTCTCCATGCAAGAAACTTATATTAGTATCATCTAACACTTGTTTACTCTGGTAACAACGAGCCTTCACCTCAATGGATGTTCTCTATACAGCTACTAGATGTATTTTATACTTGAAAATTATTTATTTAACAAGATAAAATCATGCCTCAATTTTTCTTCAGAGTATCTTAAATTATACTCATCTCTCACAACTTAAGTATCAAAACTTTTTTGTCGATGACTGTTGCATCCTTGGTCTGTCTACTCAATAATATGCGCGAGAGTTGTCACTGTCTAAGCTAAGGCCTTGACCTGATAGTCTAATTGGTTCAGCCTTGAGGTTGGAGATACGTGAGTCCGATTTGGGGCTAACGGCCTTGGGTAAGGAGACGAAAACTATTCTACCACCGGATGGATTGACAAGCGAGAGAGAGAACGAGTCAATTGAAACACTATTCGATTCAGATTAGTATGAAACGATATATAAGTAAATAGATGGTTAACCCAAGCACTACTCACAAACAATTAGGTAAGTACAATTCTGTATAAACTGTTCACTAGGGCAGAGAAAGAGCGCAAAAGGTACGTTTAAATTACAATATCTTTGAAATAGAAAATGTCATGGCAGTAAGTCATACGTCAAACTAAAGCTTGTAGTCTGTAGAATAACGTAGGGAGAAAGCTAAATTTCAATATTTCACAAATTAAATGAAATAATATCCCCAAAAGTAGATTCCGTTGTCCGTCATGACTTTATTTTTCTGTTTACATCGATGCCAAATAATTTAAAAATAATTTCTCCATTTATTATAAATTTTGCCCTGTCTATTCATTTTTTTCTTGTAGTTAACTGGTATTGAAAATTTAGAATCTCCAGAAAAGGATATTTCAGATAGTGAGATGGTTATTTCAGATGTAATTCAGTCTACGGATGAAAGTTCTGTATTGGATTCAGCTGTTGGTTCTACTTCACTTGAAGCAGTTGTTGCTAGTGAATCACCAATATTGGCAGACCAAACACCATCTACATCCATAGAATTTAAAAAATCTTGGTTCTACTCTATCAGTTATGTGATAGAAAACTCTCAAAATATTAGCGATACTAAATTATTGGACACAATTAAGAATTTAGATCTGTCTTGTATACCAAGTGCATTGTGTTCTTTGCCAAATCCTAATTTAGTTCGTACAGGTGTAGTTAGAAAAATTTTAAAATCAAATCCAGCTAATCAGAAAATTTTGGGTTGTCTTGCTTTTTATCCAAGTATTTTAAATCGTAGTTCTGAATTTTCACAAAAGCACGGAGATTACTCGTGTGTTCTTCTCCCTTCTTCCAGTAATCATCCACTAGTTCACATAGATCCATCTACTGTCCCTTCGGGTAAGCTGGTTGTATTTTACAAATTATACTTTACTGTATGACTTATATTGTCACTCATTTACTTGCTAGCACTATCTTTTGTAAATGTCTATTGTATTAGCAGTAGTTTGGCTAATAAGACTGATTTGTAGTGGCTTTTTGAACCTAAATAAAAATTTTGATACGTTGATATATATCTAAAAGCAAGAATCCTATGATAATGCATTTTAATTTATTCAGTTGCTTGTTAACCGCAGTTGAGACTGAAATGCAATGTAATCTTAATGATGGCAAACGATGATATCCAAGTAATGTGTTTCGTCCTGCTTGTTTATTCGTTATACTAGCATTTCACTTTTCATAATAATGCAGAAACCGGTACCCTAATTTAATCACATAAAGAGCCGTAACATTATTCACGATGATCGGCCAGTTGTGGTGAATTTAAAATTTGATAATTATTTCGATCGAATTTACCACCGATCTTCACTTCAAGACAGGAAATCAACGTGTTGAGAATTATAGAACGTTAAGTCAAAATCTACGAAACTGTTAAGCTAAACGTAAGAAATGTAGTTCGGAATAAGCAAGTGTCCAGTTTACGATATTATATAACCTTAACAAACAACTTACTTTATCAGCTTTAAACGTTTTATTCAACCTTAGCATTATTCGTGATACACATTACTAGTTCAGTTGATATAATGTATGAATTTACGTGTTGTAAATGCAGACAATATCGTAAAATTCATCCTATTAGTTCTTATACAGATCAAAGCTTATTTGATTATCTCTAAAGTACAACAACAAGAATGCTTAAACCTTTGCAATAAATATAGTGATCAAAATGATTTTTGTATCTGAAAACAATTTCTGGAATCGTAGATGTATATTTTAAATAGCTATGACTGGTATTTAGTTGTGTAATTTCAATTTACAAATAAAAATCTTAATTTTTCACTTCTTATTGTCATACGGTTTCTGATAATTCTTCTAACTGAACAGTCGAATAACCACCGGCTAAATTTACTCGGCAACTTAAGCACAAAAGAAAAGGCACAGAATGTGCAAACTACGCTTTACTCTAAGGTTAATTTACTCACAGAAAATCGAGGGTGTTTATAGTATTTCAGATGACCTTGGGCTTCTGAAAATCTTTGAAACCATACTGAATATTGTAGCAACATATGGGTAATTATCCAATCAGAAGTGTGGCACATGACTTCGCTTTCTAAGATGCTTCTGTTCAACGCTGATTGGGTACAATATTTTCCACAGTTTCATAAGATAGATTTTAAATATTTTGCGTAGATTATTCACTTGTTTAAATTATAATTCATGTTCCTTAATATTTCTGCTTAATCATTCATATGTGCTTAGATAACACTGTAATTTTAATAGAAAAAATGAGAGAACGGAGTTGAAAGGTCAATTAAATGAAGATTCAAGCGAACAAAGTAATAAAGGAGAGAGAAAATTAACATCGTATAAAAAGAATAGGAAGTTGTCGCATTACCCTAGGCCATAAAATGACTGAAGGATTATCAGGGTGAATTCAAGGTTACGACAAATTGGTTTTGTACACATAGGGGGGGGGATAAATTTACGAATAACCAAGGCTCCAGTTGACCTGGGAATTCGTCCTTGACGATTTTTATACAACGTTTTCTGTGCTATATTGATGTTAATTCTGTGTCCTGTTTCACTTGTGTGTTCTGCAATAGATGAACATGGCTTTCTACTATCCATGTTGTTCGGGGCATTTTACATTAACTGGTTTTGAGACAATCTAGGCACATGTTCTATAACCCTTGATTGCATTGTTCGATTACTTCTCCCTATGTATGTGTGTCCGCAGAAACATGTAAACTGGTAAATGCAGAGGGATGTGACGTAATCGTCCGTGCATTTTTCAGGTCTATTTGGAATCATGGACTTAGTTTTTTCAATCATAACCAGTTTAGCAGCATATGTTTTTTCGATGGCTGCTTTCAATCTCTCCCTTAAAACCGTACCGTTAAATTCATCTCTTAATGGTAGATGGATATAAAAAGTTCTTTTCGGAACAGAATTTCGATATATAAAGTTCGAAAGTTTAACTCCGGAGATCGCTTCATTTTTCAACTGTTGATTAGTAATTTTATTTCCCATACAATGAAGTAGTATTCTGTCGCAATTAAAATTTGTATTCCAGCTTGCAGCAGACATTTCTTTTAATCTGAATCCATTTACATGTCACTTATTAATTTTGAAAAAACCCACTTTTTATGTTTGTACAGATGCACTAAAGGATCATCAACTTGGATTAAAAAGTAGTTATGTGTGTCGAATTACAAAATGGTTCGAAAACTCAAAATATCCTCTTGGGTAACGAGTTTGTTTAATTTAATGTCATTTAATCAAGCTAGTTTATCATGTAATTCGTTTTTTGTTTGACAAAGTTTCCTTTCTCACGTCATCACTATAGTAATCCCCATACTTTTACACAGGGAGTGTAACATTGGTAGTAGTAAGTTCTCTTGGTTGATGATTGACCCATTGACAGTATTCGGTTCGTTCTTAAATAACACTGTCATTTCAAATTTTAGTTTATAGATATTCTGCGACGAAGTTCATTTACACTGAAAAGTATTTTTTTAAATTGACATTTTCATTGTCATTTGATTTCATGTCATCTATTCAGGAAATCGCTCAGTTTTTTGACACTTTCTAACAACCCTTTTAGGGAATCTAAGGGCTCACTAAGTAAAGTTTCATTTTCCATAAGGACTATATGTTCCAGTTTCTACTATCCTTAGTTAATCATGAATGTTACATCTATTGGCATGCATTTCCAGCATCTTGTTGTTTTAGAATTGCGCAAAGAGTGACCTATTTATTATTATAAAAGAACATAATTTGTAAGATAAGTAGTGTACTGTTAGGGTAGTTCAAACAAATATTACTCTACCATTTTAAATTATTCCTTTCATTTCCAATTAAATATTTATTAACGATGTAAAAATTTCACCATCCATATATTGTATTGTGTATTTAGTTGTATGTTGTCTTTTATTCATCTTTTAAAATTAATCCTCAAAAATCAATTGAGAATATGTAAATATCATCTATAATTTAATGATTTATGTTGTTTGAACGATGAATAACTATTCAATTTAATTTTATCCTCAACTTCATTCATGCTTCGTTAAAGATAAATAGTGGTAGTTCTGCATCGTCGCAAGTTTTACTCTCTCTTATTTATATCCTGAAGTAGTATTGATTTATGGCATTATTTTTTTTCAATTAGATTGTATAATTAGTGCATATGAATCGGTTTAGTGGTGGTAGTAATTGTGCCCACCTACTTAAGTGTCACAGAACATATTTAGAATGTCGTTGTTTTGTTCAGATATTAAAAACGCATAATTTCATCCAGAATTCTAAATTAAATATACTCACTTCCGTTGACCTTATGATTTTTATGTGTGCGCAAAAATTAAATTATTTACAGGGTAATTGAACAAAATTTCGGAAATTTGAATGAACTGGAAAAAGCAACTGTAAATATTCTTTTAGAACATGGAATCACTGACGATCAATTCACACCAGAAGTGAGTTAATTGTTCAAAATGATTCACTTTTCAAAACTTTATTATCCCCCTAGTATAACATCATTATAAATCCTTCAGATCACGTACTGTTGATGTTTTACATCTTCCTATTTTAGGAATTACAAGGTCTGCCGACTAGCCCACAAGAGTTTCAAATACCCGAAACAGAGTATAAAAGAAGGAAAGATTTCCGTTCTCATTGTATTGTCACCATTGATCCAAAAGATGCAAAAGATTTCGATGATGCATTACATATCACTCGATTGAAAAATGGTAAGATTATTAGCATTTAATATAAACAAAGCTCTTTCCACTTATAAATGTGTCTGATCCTAAACGAATTTAACACACTTTTAATAATCAATGATAATTGTGAATATCGCTTGTAAATATGAGATTCACTTCAAATAAATTAATGATTTATGTGATTGATAGAAAAATTTATCTAACTTTGGATCATCTTAACATTTAGTCAGTCTAATATAATGTGACTTTACTGCTACAAGAATAAGTCATCTTATGTTACTTTTTCTAAAAATATTTCCTTGCCTTCGAAAACAATGTAAAAGTATACTTCTTTACTAGGCCTGTGTGCTCTATTCTATTCAGTAAAAACCACATTTATTGTTCTCTAGTGCATATTTTATTTGTGCATTTATTTAAACGCATACACATTGGTTCAACTGGTCACCAAGATAAATATGCACCGCACAATAAAATAAGAGATTGTCGGAAAATCGCGAATAGAAGGTGACTATAATCAAACAGAACGAAACTGGATAGAAATTAGTGTATAAGAGTAGAAAAATGTTAATAATAATAATAATCGGAGAAGCAGTTCAGTTGACAAAAATATAACCTGAATGAATTATTTGAGTTATAGAGGTTCCTCATAACTATATGAAGAAATTGAAAGAAGTTTACAACAGACTCGCCACTGGTTTCTATTCCGAGCCATATCTGATAATGTCTGTAAGCATTGTGTTTCACTTTTTCTAGGAGCCTAACTAATGAGTTGTGAAGGGTCGACAGATGCCAGTCGTGTACGACATTTGTTCATACCACGACACCATGTGATATACTGTCGACCTCTCCACTTTTTCCAAACAGTCTCAGCGTCGGTATATAGTGCACGATGTTGGATTCTCTGTGACAACATTCGTAGTACATGTCCAAGCCAGGGAATTCGATGTTTGAAGATGGTGACATCAAATGGTTCATGTTCACTGTGTCCGAACATAGGTTGGGGAAGCAGTGGATTATTTCTAGAGTGTTTTCACTGACTGTCAGCAATATTTCGGAGAGAACGATGTTGTTGTTGTTCGTGCTTCTGGCTGCTTGTGGAATTTCTCTCTTCTGATCTTGGGTTTCTCTCTCTAGTCAGCGGCGCTGGAACACACTGGAATATTTTAGCTGTCGTGTCGTTGTGTTACTGATCCTTCGTTGCGTTCACGGATTTTAAGTGATCTCTTTATATCACTGTATATTTAAACTAGTTGTAACGCATAATATATATTTGTTATGTTTTATCTTATAGTCAATAATAGATTTACACTCTTATTTCATTCGTTTTTTAGGCTTATATGAAGTTGGGATCCACATTGCAGATGTATCATACTTTGTTTACCCTAATAGTCCATTAGATAAGAGAGCTGCAGATAGGACTACTTCCGTTTATCTGGTTCAGAAAGTAAGCCAATTTTTCATCATTTCAGCGACCATTTATATATTTTTTTAACTCACCAATATGGGAAATGAATTTACTTTGTTATTCTCCTATGGTATTTTTGATTTTCTTTCACAATTTTTCCATTTATTCTCTGGTTGTTTTGTCTTGTGCTACACTATTTTCCAATTTTCAATGACTTATTTTATGTTTAAACATTTTTATGATCTACGTATCGTATGATATATTGTCACCACGACTTACCGATTTCGTCCAATTACGTTTGTATTTTTGTGTTGATTCGTTTACCTTCTTTCAGTGTTACTCTTGTTTCCAGTGTGTTTCACTCAAAGACGCTTTATATGTTTCAGATAGCTTAGTGATATCCGAAATAGCACTGAATTTATTTTTATCACTCATTGACATCAGATTGACACAGCTATGTGTTGTCGTTTAATGTGCAGTACATGTTAAATTATGCTTGATCAGATTCTTTAGAGAAAAATCTCCTTAACTGTTCACTTCATGGGTTACTTACTACTCTAACAGTTAAGATTTATGCACTACTTTTAATAATATTCTTCTTGTTCCTAATAAAGTGATACAACTTTGACACCATTTTATTTGTGTCCCGGACATTCAATGCCTATTTGTCTTTTATTGGATATTTAAACTTAAGTTCACATATTGGGTATTTCGCTCCCCTAATGTAGCTGAATTCGATTCCTTTGATTGTCTTTCACTGTATGATTTAATGAACTATATGGATGAACATAAATTTGTTTTTTCGTTTCAATCTTTTTCATCCAACACTATTGTTTCCACTCAACATTACTAGTTAATGTAATCTGACTCGATTGTTGATGTTTTGTCGTAAACAGAATTTGTCAAACAATTATATATTCTTCTACTCTTAAGTATATTTTATTTTTCCCTTATAATAGGTCATACCAATGTTACCACCTATCCTCTCACAACATTTATGTAGTCTTGTACCTAATGAAGATCGATTGGCTTTTTCAATTTTATTAACAGTAAAAGAGAATGGTGAGGTTAGTGTTTGAAAAAAATTCTTATTTTCGATCGCTTTATATTGTACTTGACATAGAATTCATTGATTTTACCCAAACTGGACTGATCTCATCCCTGTTTGAGTGGACTGCTTGCTCTGATTTTTCTCCAAAAATTAGGATCTCTTTTTACTTTTTGTTTACATAAAGTCTTAGTTGGTAATTGACAAAGGATCTAGATTACTAACCTGTGTGGATTAGGGCAGCCGAAATTAGTAGGATTCTTTTTTGATTACTTTCGAAATGGCTTGCTAACGCTGTTGAAATATTCTCAGTAATAAACGTTATAGCGAAATAAAAGGGTTGTTAAAATAGTTCAATTAGTATAAAAGATACTTGGTCAAAATGTTGTAAACAGTCATTCGCTTGTTAATAATGAATTAGATTGTGTTTATTTTCACCGCCTTTAACCATAAGGTATATTAGTCCATAGTAATTAAACGACGACAAAGTTCTTATCTTTGTTCACTTTTTGGATTCTATGTATAATGTCAGCTACTGCCTATTGATAATTTGGTTATATCTATTTATTTTGCATGACGTTAATATTCCAATAATTAGATGCTCCTATAATTGATGAGAATGGTTCATTGGTATACTTTAGTTTGACGCATAGAACCAAAATACACTAGTAATTAGTACACATCGGTGTAAATATCAAGGTGCCTCCACATGCCCTGGTACGGCTGAGAGTGGGGAGACTCCGCTCTCCCTCTCGAAATACTCTCACATGGCCACGTGTATATAGTCTCTGCCAGGGAAGTCCTACTCACTGCTTTCTCGTGGCGGGGGTGTTGTTTACGAAATTGAGAAGACGAAAAGCGAATGTCCGGCGCTTTTACCGGGTTGGTGGAAATGGAGAGTCCACCTAGGGGAATCGGTGAGTTCTGATTCCGAACCAATGGTGCACATGGGCTCCAGTATCCTACAGGAACAAATGACGTATAAATCTACCGTTCGTCATCGGCTACCATGGGACTGCATCTCCTTACGATGCTCCACTGCCCTGTGGGTCAGACCTTTAGGTCGAAGGCTTCAGGTGTGGTCCCCTAAGAAAACCACCTGCTTCGGTTTGGGCACCCGGGCAGTACCACAGCCCCCACACAAATCAGGTGAGATTTGTGTGGCGCATATGTATTTGGTGCTTCCTTGTACCAATATCGATGTGTTCAAATAAATAAATATCAAGGTAACTGAAAGAGACTATTTAACATAGTGATTATAATCATAGTTATTTTCACATTCTCTTCCTAGTCATTTTGTTCAATACTTATTTCAAATTAATCAGCTTAAGTTTAGTCAGACACATCCAAGAAACTTTTTGCCCTCCTTAAATTTGTATTATATTATCGAAATAGGTTATAGATATTTAAGAGCATATCATGTGGACTAATACGCCTATAATCTTATTTGTCATTCACAACAACTGTCAGGACAATTTTACATTTTCACAGCCGATTCACTAACATCTATCAAATTCTTATCCGGAACTAACTATGCATGCGTTTCGTTTTTCTTAAAAAACTGCTTATAATGTTTTCTCGGAGTCTATTATTATGCAACATGACTGATTACTTAAAATTTATTTTATTTTTTCCCATATTCAATGTTGTCTACCTAAAAATAAAAAAAATATTTCAGATTATCAATGAATGGTTTGGTCGAAGTGTAATTCGCTCACGTTGCCGCTTGACATATGACGAAGCCTGGAGCATAATCCAAACGACACAGTCAAATCCAACCATCGAAGATAAATCACGTTTATTAGAATTTTTGCCTAAGCCTGAAGCTCCTTTCACGTTTCAAGATCTTCAAAATTGTCTGTCTTCTCTGCATCTGGTAATTTCACCCTTTTCTAATTAGTTTATTGTGCCCTCTTTTTTGTAATATCGTAATTTCTAGTTGGTGTCCCGGATAATTCATTTTTCACAGATTTATTTCCTTTGATGAAGTTATATAAATGCTATTTACTTAACTAAAAAATTGCCAAGTCTCTACTCCTTAGTTGATGGTCATATCGTCTTAGTAGTTAATTTTAGTTGAAATTAACATCACACGTGTAACTTGAAATAAATACCTGTGAAATTATACTTCAACTTATTGCTCATGATTATAGAAGTTTGGTTGTCGAAAATGAAATTGTCGAGGTTGAAAGCTGAAGTGTGGTTCCCGTTATGGATATGATACGATAATTCTCATTATTTCCCAAATTTCGGTTTACAGTAAATTTATTAGATGGTAAGAAGCAATCGATAAGAAATCAGTGCACATAAATACCGCATCTAAGAATACCGATACCCATCCGTTGACTGCCTCACCATGTGTTTAATGTTATTAGGATGGATTTGAATTATCCCGTTGTGATAACGTTTTCTGAATTTTTAGTCTTTGTTGGCATATTAGCAAATTGTGCGGATTGTCTCGGTATAACCACAATTTTTATGGAATAGATGGACCCGTCTATAATAGACCGATTTCTCATTCGTCCTAGTTGTTTAACTTCACACTAACTCATCAAGAGGGAAAATGGTAATAATATCCATAGCAGTAAAAACGTAGTTTAGAAAAAAAATGAAATCGATAGGTGAAAATTTAGTACTGATACCCAATTAAAGATTCAAAGTGAGGCAACAAATGAATGTAACGTCGATTTTACACCACGCCATCTAGATATATGCGAATTTCGTGGGAGTGCGATGGACCAAACAAACAGCATATTTATTCATTGTTCGGTAAATTTTATTTTACGTGTTAATCGGTGATGTGAAAACTTTGAGTCCCACTAGTTTTCTGTGTATAACGGTGATTTTTGATTTCATATTCTAGTTTGATTTTCTTGAATTTTAATTATTCATATACTTTGCTGCAGTGATTAGTGTAAACTGCGACAGTGGACCTAATTGTTGTCATATTTATCAGGAATATTATTCTCTGGATTAAAATTATAATCTAATCTTATTAACTCTAATTCATTTACGAAGTGTAGACTTATATACCTTGATTTTAGACAACCTCACTTTTATGAAGACACTTGTGATATTGTTCGGTTGCCCAACCACAACATAGACAGATTCCGATCCACTAAGCCAGCTGTTTGTAAAAATTTGAATGCTACTAGATGTTTGCATTAATATTTGTTAGACCTGATGAAACCTCACCAAAACTCCTGACTTGCTTAAACAACTGTAGTGTGAAAATTAAAGTTACATAGTCTGTTGTGTACCATGATCAATAAAGGAATTTTTAAAAATTTACGTATACAAAAATGAAACTACTTATTTATGGTCGGAATTCGTTAAGTTCTTGGATAATATTTACGATATAACTGTTATCTATCTTTGCTATCTTACCCAGGATTAAAAGTTTTTAAATTACATCACAATGTTTTATTTATTCAACTGGGTTTTTTCTCAAATCGTATTTTGAATGCATAAGATTTTCTATTGCTACTAGCATTGTTTCTATATTCACTACTCTGGGATTTCCTTTGACTATTTTATTCCACTGTGCTAATGCGTTGCGTCGATTTGAACCGATGTACATATGTACCAAGTTCTACTGACACCCGTTACACCTATGGTGTTTGTGGCTTATACCCAATTACCTGATGAATGAATTAATTTATTTACAATTTTGTACCAGGTTCTATCTTGGTAATCACTATTTGGCTGATTTGTTTGCACTGAGTAACTTTTCGCTTGTATGCTGATAATTTTCTCTAGTTAAAAATATGTTATCTACAGCAATGTTTTAACAATTTTTTTCTTCATATGCAGATAGCAACAAATCTACGTAGTCATCGAATTGAAAATGGCGCTATATCTTTCGACAAATTAGAACTGAATTTTAGTTTTCCAAAACCACTACCTGTAATGGAGAAACACACAAATGAATGGTAAATATCTCAGAACAGCCTTTTTTGTCCGTTTAAAAGTGGTTTCTGTTTCATCACCATTTTCTTAGCTTATTTGTTGTGTTGAAGTTGTCAAATAATTTGTAGTATAGACGCGTTAAAATCTAGGGGATCCAACCAATTGGTTGATATTTATTCATTTTGTATCCGTCATTTAGAAGAAACTTATCTAACCAATAAATATATCATAAGCTAATTTATTCTGATTTTTTATCTAGTAGAAAAATATGTGTGTTCGAATATTATTTCTAAATTTATTCATCTTTTCTGTCGTAGATGTTGCAGTTAGGTTCTTGCTTTCACTTTTATTTAATATTCAAACAATATTGCTCGTGATAGTTTGGCTATGTGATGTATCATCAATAGTGTATGAAAAGTTATATGTTGTCATTATGTCAAATGTTTGCGGTAGTGAGGCTCAAAGATACTGTATCTAACACCTAAAACTAGCTGGGAGTAGCTTCAACGTTATACAGTGCCTTTTAGCAAAGACTTAGATAGTCTTACTTCATTTTACCGTGTGTGTGTGTGTGTGAACTATTTCAGATTACAAAATATTCAATTGATAAAAAATTTCAATCGAAATGGGATTTCATTATTAAACAGAAGTGTATAAATTATATATATGCCATCAATACATTTTAGTTAAAAGTGCATAATGTTCGGCTATTTCTCATTTTCAATACCTTACTTTGTAGTTCAACTACACTTTGGCCTCAGGGTTTCTCTGTGAAAGTACGTAATCCTGCTCATCATTTAATTGAAGAATGGATGATTGTCGCTAATCAATCTGTTGCTCGATTTTTATTCGGAAACTTTATTAAACGCCTTAAAGGTGTGCAACCTTTTGAAATTACTGTTGATACGGGCAATAATAATCAGAAATGGTTGGGTGCAACGCTACGAAATCATTCGAAACCGGATAGAAATAGATTTAGTCAATTGGTAATTTCAAAAACTTTATGCTCGTAATTTTTTCTCTTGTTTAACTTTTGTTCATATTTGGTTCCCAACGTATATGTTTTACAACTTTATCCATAATTATCGGAATTCGCTAAATAAACAGGGATTAGTGGTGCATTTTCTCAAAAAAATATCCACAAATTACTGCGAATAAACTCACACAAGACACATCTTATATTGTGACTTTTGGGTTTCATAAGCAAAAAAGATATTTAATTATTATTGAAACATTTACATTACGTATAATTTAATTGTTTCAAACCTAACAAATTTTTCTCAAAATCATTAACTTTTATCTTTTCTGATTTGTCGATATTAGTATGGAATAGGGAAGTTTTTCGCTTAATATAGTGATATAGGATAGGTGAATTCGTTTACGTTTTACTTCTATATATTCTGTAATAATTCGATTTTTATTAAATATTATCATCTGAAGAAAATGAATTCCTATAATGAATATCATTCCTATGAAACAAACAGTAGACTTCCTGTCCCAAGTGTTCCAATGAATATGCTCGGACGTAGGAATCTACTAGTAATTTATTCTGATTTGAAAAGAAATCAATACGCAGATAGAAGCCGGTTGGTTAGTAGGTACCAAGTGGACTATCTATTCTTTTAAACTGCACTACCATGGATATAATCAAGGTGTCAATATGTTTTTTTTTAATGAAACTGATTCATTTAAATGAATTTTACATTTCTCAGACGATATATTAAAATGTCTGAAATAAAAAAATGATGTGTTGATATTTCGTATGGGATTTATGAGTAAACAACTGGTAGAAATCATTTTAATGGTTTTTCATAGAAATCCTTTACTTATTGCTGGAGAGCGCTATCCAACTTGTAATTAAAGAGAATTGATTGCGTGACAATTAATATCATATATATACTTATTAAGCCAAAGAATGAATGTATATTTCGAAGAAATTGTTATACTTATTCAGCTACATTAATTAAACGTAAGTCTAAGGACCTACCAATGGAAGCAGCGCATTCGAATTCTAACTAATTCTTCAGTGATGGATGAAACATCTATGTAGTATATTTGTTGTACACAATTATTTATATGAAGAAATCAACTCACTGATTGTTGTGTATGCTTCTTCAATTCCGTTGAATACTTTAACCTATCTTGATTATAGCGTTTTTCAGTACTGCTTTGAAACGAACGGAAATTCACAACTGTCAAGCGAAACTTTTTTTAGATTTCAGTTGTATTAAAAAAATTTTTTTTTCTAAATCCACTAAAAAACCTCATTTTTTACTGACCTTCATTACACATAAAACAACTGTTCATCCAATAGTTTTTTGATCATTGTGTTATTCATTTGTTTACTTTATGCATGTACATTATTCACTATGGAATATATCTTATTTTCAAGTTTATTTTTATTTATCTTAGGTAAAAATAGCAAAATCAAACAACATTGACTTCGATTCCTCAAGTTCTCTTTCACTTTCCGTGAGTAATTACCATTAGATTATGTTCCTTTATTTTACTTCATTATTTATTGATGTAGAGCTAAATGATCATCATGTCTCTGAGTTTATTTTGAGAAAAAGAAGTATACATTCGCATAAACTTGAAGATTATTTTTAGTGTTCTAAATTTCGTTTAATATTACATTTTTTCTTATTATTTTCAGTGTTCTGTCAAAAAGTTGGCTCACAGTATAGCTGAAAAAAACTCCTATAATGAATCGTTTCTCTTAAATTTGATGTCTTCTTTGTCATATATGACCTATATCCGCCTATCTGTGAGTTTTCCATAGTGTTTTTCTCAAACGTTTTATTCAACATTGTTGTTGTAACTTCATCGATACTCCCTTTATTATTGAAGAAGACATAATGTCTTAAAAACTATCTGATTTGCAAATTCCAATAATCTATGAATACATCTCAAATGAACTTGTAAATTTAACTTCTTCGTTCAACATCTCGTAATTTTACCCCTCAATTTATAAGTTATATATGGTGCTTCTGTCGTGTAACTAATGATATAAAGTGAATATATTTGTTTCACATTTTGTAAAAACAGAACACTTCTGACATGTACACTTCAATTCGATATCACGTTTTAAAATACCTCACACATGTTCATTTAAACGTATAGATATTAGTACAACTGGTCACCAAGATAAATATGCACCGCACAATAAAATAAGAGATTGTCGGAAAATCGCGAATAGAAGGTGACTATAATCAAACAGAACGAAACTGGATAGAAATTAGTGTATAAGAGTAGAAAAATGTTAATAATAATAATAATCGGAGAAGCAGTTCAGTTGACAAAAATATAACCTGAATGAATTATTTGAGTTATAGAGGTTCCTCATAACTATATGAAGAAATTGAAAGAAGTTTACAACAGACTCGCCACTGGTTTCTATTCCGAGCCATATCTGATAATGTCTGTAAGCATTGTGTTTCACTTTTTCTAGGAGCCTAACTAATGAGTTGTGAAGGGTCGACAGATGCCAGTCGTGTACGACATTTGTTCATACCACGACACCATGTGATATACTGTCGACCTCTCCACTTTTTCCAAACAGTCTCAGCGTCGGTATATAGTGCACGATGTTGGATTCTCTGTGACAACATTCGTAGTACATGTCCAAGCCAGGGAATTCGATGTTTGAAGATGGTGACATCAAATGGTTCATGTTCACTGTGTCCGAACATAGGTTGGGGAAGCAGTGGATTATTTCTAGAGTGTTTTCACTGACTGTCAGCAATATTTCGAAGAGAACGATGTTCAAACACAGAAAGACGGCTAGCCTCCTGAACTCGGAGAGGCCACTTTTCTCGTGCATAGAGCAACATCAGCCTCATGAAAATCAGATGAATATGCCCCAGGGTCCTCGGACAAACGCACTCGAAATAAGTTTTTTGAAGCTACAGATCGCGAGCAAATTTGTTGTGCTTAACGAAAGTCTTGACTATAGGTCTTTGATAGACATCGATGTTGACACTATCTCGTGGCATAATTCATCTTATCTGTTGTTCGATGTGTATTAGTTTGCCGATGTTGGAGGTGGTGTTTGTATGGCACACATGGTTTCAGAAAGGCCAGTTCAGAATTTGTGTTTCTTGGTATCATTTCTATTTCGACCGATGAGTGAGATGGTTTAGATGGGAGAGGATTTACACCATAGGATAAGTGCTGTACGAGTTGAAAAAATAACAGGTAGTTGAAGAGAGATGTTGTGTAAAATAAAAACGAATGTTAACACATCATCGTGAATGTAATTAATGAAAATGAAGAATAAAGCATAAATGTTTGTAACTGTCATTTAGTTTATGTGTGAAGTGATATACTACCCTGGTGCACAAACCGGAGCAGGTGGTTTGCTTAGGGCGCCACTGTTTGCATCTTTACCTAGGTGTCTCATCCATAAGGAAGAAGAGCACCGTTAAATGTAGTTCTATGGTCGCCGGTGACCAAGAATAGTTTTGTATGTCATAATTTATTAGAACGATGACTGAAGCGTCTATGAGGTTTTGGGTTGAATTCAGCATTCTTTTGAGTCTATGGTGAAGGCAGTGGAGCAGCGATAAGAAAGTTCGTACCAGTGTAGCCAGTGACAAAAATGGGATTTTACTTCATTTCCCTCAGGATTCTACAGATTGTGTGCATCCGCAGTTTTTAATTATGTTTTCATAACTATCCTAGGCTTATACCCCATCCGTGTCGCGCTAAGAAAGTAAGACTTCCCTGACAATAGCTACACACCCGTGACTGTTCGGTGGGGCCGCGGACACTATTGTTTATCAATTAGTGTTGGTTTTTGGAAATTGTCCTCAAAAGTGCAGACTTTTTAAAGTGCATCAGGAGGAAATAAGATTTTTTAAATATTTTGTTTTTTTTTAATAGGTAGCTCTATACTTTAATTTGGATAGTATGTATAACATACTTAGCAAACGTTATGACGAAGAAAAATTGTTAGAAAATATCTCATACGATGATGATTTTTTACGACTGCTGTCTTTTGATCCTAAATCGATATTAAAACGAAATAATAGAACTATGCTAAATTATACATGGCACTATGGTCTCAGCATACCATTGTATACACATTTCACTTCACCCATTAGACGATACGCTGATTTGCTTGCTCATCGTCAGATGGCAAGAATATTGGAATGTGATAATTCTGTTTATCCAGAATTGCAAGTATCTTTTCAAAGCAATAACTCAATACAAAAAGATATTAAGAATTCTGATATAGATTTACTGGTTGCTTGGTGTAATGATCGTCGACTAAAGGCTAAACGAGCTGGAGAAGCAAGCCAACGTTTGTTTTTTACAGCTTGTCTTAGAGTGAGTGTTCATATACTGTTTGTATCATTACATATAACTTGAAATCCGTTTCATTCATTAATTTCCACGCAACATTTACTTTTTTTATATTAATTTACTTCAAGTCTGTCTGCCGACATATGTAGTATGTAACGTCAATCAGTAGTGAAATGCTTAACAAAAGAGGGTTGATAAAATTGAACTCAAGAAAACAGAAAGGGAAAAATGAAGGACTTGAGAATGGCAATTATCAAGAATGCAAAGGACAGTTGATGGAAGATTTGCAAATGAACTAATACATCGTTTTCACATTTTACGAAAGAATTCCGTAACTTTGTAATGAACAATAAGCTGGTCTTCCTCACCTGAGTTCTCGTTCACTACAGATACATTGAGGAATTACTTAGCACATGAATCGATTTTCCCTACAAAGTACATGATCGGTAATTGTACTAATTGTCTGCCTATCAACGTATTTATTACTTTCACCACAATGCAACTTTTCTTAAACATTATGCTTCTCGTTATTTTCTTCCATTCCAGAATGTTTATATTTTTCCAACCTTTAAAAATCATAGTTGAGATAGCTTAACCGACAGTCACTTTTTTTCTAAAATAATAGGATTATGGCCCGTTTTATGAAAATGGTACTGTGATGGATTTGTCCGCCAATAAAATCAGAATTTTGATCGCATCTTATGGCTTAACCATCGAAACAGAAATCAAAGAGGTAAGTTAATTATTTCAATTATATATTGATCCACATTCATGTTTATATTCAAACAAATTATTGTATCAGTAATTGTAATAAATTTATTATTTATGCATCCAGTTTTTGAAAAATGTCTTCAAGTGGCAACACAATGCAGCGGTCAAGGAAGATGATCCAGATAAAGGACTATCCAACAACGATTTAATTCCAGGAAAAACCAATACAATAACTTTTACATGGGATAATACAGAGGATCAAACTGTACAGAATTCAAAACAATCAGAAATATCCATACTTTCGGTTCTACCTTGTCGTGTATTTTGTCTTCAAAACACACTTATCCCACTTGTTGAGTTGGTGACTTCGAATCATATCTCTAACCAGAATGTGTAGTAAATAATATTGTTATATTACAAAAAGAACTATGTACAGTGTATATTATTGCTGAGAAATCAAGTCTTTTTATTGTGTATTTATGTATTAGGAAACTTCTCGAGAATAGAAACTGGTGCTGAACGTGCCGACTTCTAACAACATACGATTATAACTCTTTGAGATGAAAGACTTGCTTGAACAAGGACCGACGATTTTATCTTAAAGTAGTTCTCTAATAGTGATCACAATCTGCTCCTAAATATTCGTTTTCAATTCGACAATGTAAACAACTTCTCTGGAAATGCTTAGTCATACAAACATTCTCACTCAATAATAACTAAATCTAATCACCTGTAAGAGAGTTAGCATTTCTGAACTTTATTGTTTCCTCAGTTATATACATGCTGATAGGTTTACTTATTTTCAAGTGTTAACCTAATCTGGAGTTTGGAAATGTGAATCCTCCATCAATAAGAAATAAGTATTGTGAAATGTACATGAAGTTAAACATTAATTATAACCACAATCTAGTGATCTAACCTACTAGACCTTTGTTACATTACGCAACGAAAACTATAACAAATATTCCAGAGCTGTCACACTTATAGAAACCTTGTTAAGACTTCAATTGTTTGCTTTATTTACATTGCAAGCAGCTTGTTTTGTATGTAACTGATGACAAACCAAAAAATTCAATGGGTTCATCGTATTTCGCAAATATTGCCATTTTCATTTTGTGTTGTCGAAAAACCAATGGAATGAAATAACGAGCGAATTTTGATGTACCCTTTGGTTTGATGTGTTTCAACCATAAGTCAATTTAATTTTGAGATTTATAAAACTATCATTGACGTAAATTATTAATATAACAGTCTCATACGTTTGTAATGGATGAAATATCGAGGATGGAAAATGTAAGCAAATAGATCGAATGAAAAGTTTCATTAAAGTAGGAGCTCGTTTCTGAATTTTGTTCAAGTTGTGTATGCGATATGAACTTTTCGAAGCTAATACTATGGTGTACACTATTTATATCGGTAGATGTTAGTAGTATGTAACAGCAGTTGGAAGGAGAATGCTTGCCAGCAGAATATTAGAATGAAGAGTACAGGAAGGAAATCGGAGAGCAATAAACATGATAACAGAATTAGAGGAATCTTGTAAAAAATCTATCATTTGCAAAGCAGCACTAATCTATTTTAGTATTACGAAGAAGACTGATTCGATTATAATGTGTATATGTATCATTAAAAAATAAAGTAATAGAATCTTGTATAATCAAAAACATGAAATTTTGAAATTTTATTTTCGAAGATTTAAAAATGAATCCGGTTTGAAGCCACATGAATACAATATCTTTATCTCGTTAGGTAAAGTGACCTGCAGTAATTCACCATCTTCACTTGTTATTGTAAATGTCATGGTACCATTTATTCGCTTAGCCCAATCAACTCTTGACCCGACAAAATTAAGTAACGCGTTGTAATTATGATTTCTTTTTAACCTGGAAAGAAAAAGCATAAAACGTTTAGAAATTATGTACTTATGGTAATTTTCAACATTGAACGGTTGGTTTTTCTCGATGACTCAAGTTCGTTTCGTAAACTGAATATATTGGATTGTCTAGTTAAACAAAGTATAGCCCGGCTTTTTTCAGAGGAGTGATAATAAAAAAGTAAAGTGCCCATATATATTCATCGACAAAAAACACAATTTCTGAATAAAAAGTGTTTTGTTTTCGATATCACGAACCAACATAAGTGGGACGCCCACTGAGAAGCACTAAATATTTCGTTTTAGCATCGAATGACTTAACAGTGCAGATCCACGAACCTACCAGGGAGCGAATTCAGGAGTTTGGTCTCACGGCGAACACGTCGGCTGATATTTGACGTTATGCCGATAGAAGTGTACATTCAAGACATCAACATATTTTGGCAGATATTAGTATTCAGAATGTAGTTGAATGGAAAGATATGTGCTAATCTTTGTTCACTTAATTCTTGGGAGAATTCAGATTTCATAAAGAGGTGGTTGAAAATCAAGTTCCACATGCTGATAATAGTAAACCAGGCAGTAGGGAATCCACACGAAATTTTAATCATAAATAAAAAGCATGCATTATATACTTATGAGTTCGTTTCTGAACTAAAACAATTATCCTTTATTTATGCTTAGTTGACGCTAAAAATAACGACTTCTCATTTCAAAGCAGTTTAGTACTATCTGTAATCTTTCCTCTTGTATAAAGTTACCATATGGAACTGTTGTAAAACAACTCAAATATTAAGAAATAATCGAGCACATTAAAAGAATGGCAAGAATGTACACACAATCATCGCATCTAGGAGTTTCTCATTGACTGCTTAATTTTACCTACCTTTTATTTGGTATGTTCATGAAATAATCCTGTTTTCGTCGTTTTCGTTTAGGTCTGTTGACAGGAGCAATAGTGTCATCCTCCTGAATTTCTGCGATTTCTTCATCATTCTCCTGGGGATACTTAGCGACTGAATGTTCACTAGAAGAAAAAACATATTACGTAATAATAGAAAAATAAGACAACTCACAGACTTGTTTTGAAGTCATAGATTCAGATAATTATATGTTCTGCATTACTGCAACTCTTTGAGAACTTTAAAAATTACCGACATCGAATTCTCTTTCAATTAAAAACTAATAAAGTGACTTAAAGTTTACATAGTACTCATTAAGGTGACGACACACTCGAATATTGACGTTTTTCATACATTAAAATAAAATTCTACAACTAGGAATTTTATTTCAGAATATGTTGTCCTACAGCCGTTTATAAAGAATATCTTTGCTTTACATGACTAACGACTTTTCGAATCGTGACGTGTTCAAATTATTATGAGTCCATAACTTTGGTCACCTAGAAATGCATGTTAAATTTGCAACTTCACTTTTAATGTTTAATGCTTTGAGATACTGAAGTATAGTACGTATAATTATATTCTTAACTTTGCAGACATGTTCTCCAGTCGTGTAAAAAATATAGTTTCACTGTTGCATACTTTTTTCTTGACAAATGTTACACCTCGTCACTGTAGTTTTCTTTTACGAAGAGATATCACTGCAGCTACGGTAGGATTTCGTAGTTGGCCAGAGATCAATAAGATGTGAATGGGATGCATAATTCGCATGTCTTCAGTCAAAACATATCATTCAGGAACCCTAGTACACAAATCTAAGTTTTGGATCACTTCTAGAATATATAGAGGTAGTAGATAAAAAAACTTGCGGTAAGCAACAATAAATGGGTGGATTCAAAATGTAGTTTCTCGTAAGGAGTGAATTGCATTATACAGTGTGTGCTGAGAGTTTGACGATATAGAAGAAAATATTTGTGCTTTAAACTGATTGCATGTTGTACCTTTTCCAAATAGTCTGAGGAAATATAAACTTAGAATGGTATAGACTAGGCAATAAGGTGGGATAATTTGTGCAATAAAGTTTATACTTCCTTGATACAGTTTTCAGATCTGTTACACATCAGTGATGTTTAAAAATATCGATTAGCAACAAGTGATCACGTTAAATCTCACAACGTGCAAAATCACCTACTTCATAGTCACTCTATTTTCAAAGAGATATGACCGACCGAATGTTTGATATCTATGTATATATATATATATATATATATATATATATATATATATATATATATATATATCACAAGAGAATGGACATAAAAAATTATAATAAGTCGATATATGCTTACTAGGCTTCTTGCCAATGACGCTTAGCATCTTCCATAAATGATTTGGCTGGTATGCTTGCCAGAAGTGCAGGCCACAAAAGAAGAGCTAATGATCTGTTAATAAAATCTGTATATTTTGAAGACAAAAGTGTACGTGCCACGTTGAAAATCGGACGACCAAACATAGTAGACGATTTAAATTCGTCTAATTCTATTTATTTAAAAACAATGAAAGACATTGGGATAAATACTCCGATATGTTGATACTTTCGACTAATTTTTTAATTTTCCTTGCTTGTTCAATTACATCATGAGTGCTACGCTCCAAAACCGGTCATGTTAAATGACTTGCATTGTTTTAAACGTAGCGCTTAGTCTGGTTTCGTTTATCCCCGATATTCTCGTCAAACTTACTCGTTTACTTATTATTAGTCACGTATCAGCACGCAAAACTCCGGCTGGAGTCCCTCCGGGGGCTACTGCCGGTCCCAAGCCCGGATAAAGGAGGAGGGTTGGGCATGGGGTTAGTGTCTCCATCCCGTAGAAAACTAACTCGCTGCAAAACGCTAACCAGAAAAAATATTCAAACATTTTAAACTCTGCCCTGGGAGTCAGAAGGTCTTTATTTAGAAGAACTATGACGCCTCATGATGAAAGCCGAATTCCCTCGGAAGTTACGAGGCCGATGCCCCTTCTGACAACCAGAGCAACCATTAATTTAGGTACATGGAATGTTCGTACAATGTGTGACACCGGGAGAGCCTTCCAAATTGCTGCAGAAATGAGAAGATACAACCTAGAGGTGCTTGGGATCAGTGAAACACATTGGACGCAAGTTAGACAACAACGACTAACTTCAGGAGAGCTCCTGTTATACTCCGGCCATGAAGAAGAAAATATCCCAAATACACAAGGCGTTGCATTGATGCTGTCTAAACAAGCACAAAGATGCACTTATAGGATGGGAATCTCATGGAACAAGGATCATCAAAGCCTCGTTCAAAACAAAGAAAGAGGACATTTCAATGAACATCATCCAATGCTATGCGCCTACCAACGACTACAATGAAGACGCTAAAGATCAATTCTACGATAAATTGCAGTCAATCATCGAGAAGTGCCCAACAAAGGACCTGACCATTCTGATGGGAGATTTAAATGCCAAGGTTGGAATGGACAACGCTGGATATGAAGACATCATGGGACGATATGGACTGGGAGAAAGAAACGAAAATGGTGAGAGATTTGCAAACCTATGTGCCTTCAATAAGCTGGTCATAGGCGGCACCATATTCCCACATAAACGCATGCACAAAACCACATGGACTTCAACGGATCACACAACAC